ACAGGCCCGGGGAGGGGCCGCGCCCAGGCCAGCTGGCGTCTGCAGCCCCAGTCCGGCTGTGGGGTGGGAGGGTCGGGCATGGCCTCCCCCGGGGCCACCCTCCCTCGGAGGTCTTTCCCCTGTGTGTTGGGGGTGGGGGGCTGGGTGGGGCGGGGATCGCGGGGAGGGAGCTGGGCCTGGAGCCACGGACAAGGCCGAGATAGGACAAGGCCGAGATCAACCAAGAGCTTTCACTTCCTGAAAAACACGCCTGGGAGACTCACCAGGGCGGCAGCACCCAGACTTGGGCGCTCACCCCCTCGTCTGAGGCGGGCTGGGGGGCTGGACTCCAGGGTACGTGGGGGGTCTGGTGGCTGGACCCTGGGGTCCAAGGGAGGAGGCGGGGGTCTGGATGCACAAGTCCGATGGAGGCGTCTGGGGCCTGGACCCCCGCGTTTGAGGAAGGAAGGGTCTGGGGGCCTCTGGGGAGGAGTCTGGGGCTGCATCTTGGCTTTCCCAGCACCCTGTCCTGCTGAGACCGGAGTTTACTCTCTGCTGACCTGGCCGCGCTGAGTCCAGGCGTCAGGCTCCCCAACAGTCCCCGCAGCCCTGAAAGCAGCTCCCTCTTCAGGAATCCTCCCCCCCCAGGCCCAGAGACACCCCCCACCGCCCTCCACCCCCAGTCCCCCTGCTCTGTACCCAGGCCCAGGGGCGGGGCCTCCAGAGCCCTCCCTGAGCCCTGCTGGCCAGGACTGGGCACTCACCAGCAGCACCAGGCTCCCCCAGGCCCTGCGGCCCCCGCCGGCCCCTGTCATGTCTCCAGGCTCTGAGGAGGAACCAGGAGTCCCAGCCCCGGACCTTCCACCTGCTGGACTTTAAACGCAGGCATTTCCCCTTCCAGCCCCATGTGAGGCGCAGGCGGGCGGGGCAGGAGGAGGAAGTGCTGCTCTGGAGAGCTTGCCCCACCCCTCACCTGGGGATCCTGTCCCCAGGCAGGTCCCCTCTCCAACCCCAACTTGACCATGAGGCGCCCCCAGCCAGTGGCCTCTGCCCTGCTGCTGTGGGCTGCAGCTCCAGGCAGAGCCAGGTCACACTGCCTAGCTCTCGGGCCACTGGGCCCGATCAGGCCGGGGTGGACACTGGCCCTCAGCCAGCTCTCACCTGCTCGGCCCCTTGGCCTCCCCCACCTCCCAGTAGTGGGGGGCCGGGGGCGCCTCCTGGTCACTGCCCAGCCAGCTCCTCTGCTCCCCCATCACCACGTAGATCAGAGGTGGCCCGGGTCAGGCAAGGCTGACACCCGCCGGTGGGTGGTGTTTCATCCACACCCGGACATCGCTCCCTGCGGCCTTGACCGGGAAGCTGGGCGTGGTCACGGTCTAGCACAAGGGCAGAGGCCCCGACTGCATGAGAGGACCCAAGAGCTGAGTGGGTGAGCCGGCTCAGCCCCCGCAGCCCCTTCACCCTGGTCAGCCCCAGGCCCCGGCTTGGGCGTCTCACTTGTGAGCCAGGCTGATCTGAAGTATTCTCCCTCACGTTTGATGGGAAAGGCGGGCACCTCTGGGTCGGGCTACACAGTGCGGGTTGGAGGACACTGGCTAGTGTCCCCGAGTGTGGACACAGCCTAGTCAGGCTCAGCGGGCAGGTGGTGCGGGCGCGCCAGATGCCATGCTGAGCAACACACCTGCACGGGCTATCAACACCCCCACCGTTCCGCCCCTTAGATGAACCGCCACGGGCACAAGACCGCAAATCCATACTTTGTCCTTTTTCACGGCTGAGTAATACTCTACGGCAGGATGGCCCTGGTGTGTCGCTTAGGGCCGGGTACAGGCCGACCAGCGCGGCGGCATTCTGCTGGGGTGCAACACCGAGGCCGTTCCACAGGCCCACCTGGGGCAGCCCCGCAACCCGGATGGTGCATCCACTGGGAAGGACCACCTGTATGGCCCATCGCTGACCAGAATGTGCCGACGTGACACGCGACACACAACTGGGTGCAAGTGTTTATGCGATCACGGTTGCCGGGCAGGACGTGTCCACTGTTGGCCGCCACGAGCAGCGCTGCGCAGCAGTCATCGTCCGTCTGGCCGTGCGGTCTCCGTGTCCGTGCGAGCCCGGCACAGGGAGGCACCAATGTCTCCCGGCCTCCGGGGCCTTCCCTGCTTGGGCACTCAGACCCCAGCCCTCGCCCCCGGGCCGGTCAGGACCCCTGCCCCGGCCTAGCGGCCTGTCAGCCCCACACTCCCGCCCCCCTCTCCCCCCGCACCGTCTGCTCCAAGGTGGGCTTTGTCCCACAGGAGGCAGGAACGGGATGTCTGGGGTCTTCAGGAGACACTCAGGCGTCCTCGGAGGCAGAGGGGCCTGGCCTTGGAGAGAGGGAGGACATCGGGACCCGCAGGAGTCTCCGGGTGGAGACGGCGCCGAGCGCTCCGGACCAGGGTGAGGCCCGCCGGTCTCCACAGCTTGGGGTCAGGACACACCTGGGGGCTGCCCACCCGGTCCCCCCGTCCGGCCCGCCGTGCCCTCCACCTCCAGCCGTGGCTGCGATCAGGGCCTGAGCCCAGAGCAGGCAGCACAGGATCCGGCCGAGGGCCGGGGCGAGGCAGAGGGCGGCTGGCCAGGGGCCTGGCCCTCCCGGGGGTCCTCGCCAGCCCGGGGTCGCACCAGGACTGAGTTGACTGAGGATGCCCAGCTGGGCTCAGGGCACTGGGGTGCGGCAGGGACCGCACGGCAGGACGGCGTGTAGGGCTGCAACACTGAGGAACCCCGGCAGTACCCCAGGACTGACAGACGGAGACTGAGGAGGTTATGGGGCCACCCGGGCCGGGGCTCCCTGGGCTGTGGTCTCTGGGGCCGGGTGGGGATGCGGAGATGACAGTGAAGAGGCAGGGGCTCTGGGGCAACAGGAAGTGAGAACCCCAAGTCCCAGGTAGCCTTGACGGGTCCGTGGAGGCGCCGAGGCTCTCACAGCCACACGCACATCCTCAGGGGCCGGGACCCTCGTCAGACCCGGAGACTGCTGGACGCCAGTGCCCAGGACTAGAGGCCAGCAGGCTGGGGTGGGGACACACACCACACCCCACACACCTACACACACCACACCCCACACACATACCACACTCATACACCCCACACACACTGCACACCCCCCTCACATCACACACACCATACATACCACACCCCCCACACACCCCGCACGCCACACACATAGCACACCACACGCACACACCTACACATACCACACACCCCACCCCACACTCACACCCCCACACACCACACACACACACTACACGATTGTGTGACCTGATGAAAGCCAAGGAATTGATCATATTGCAACACACTGCACGTTGTCAGATGATGGAGTTGTAGACCCCAAGCCTGCACCCCAGTTAACTCTGGCTGGGTTGGTTCTGAGGGCCCTCTAGGAGGGAAAAGAGGGATCTCACTTCTTGGAGGAATGTACGGGATAGTGGGGGTCCAGGCGCCCAGCCACCCCCAGACCAGGAGTTCCTAGCATCCCTCCTAAAGTCAGCCCCTCCTGAGTGTCCTGCACAGCTCCTCCATGTCCCCGGGGGGCTCTGGCCACTCACTGGTGCCCCAGGCCCAGTCCCGGGGCCTGGACTCCAGCCCAGTGTCACCCCGTGGCCCCTGGCTGTGTGGGTGTCCTGCTGCCCGTCCTCGGCTTGGGTGAGAGGAGGAAGGGGTGGAGGTTTCAGGGAGAACCTCCCGCTCCGGTGGCCCTGAAGCACGTCATGACACAGAAGTCCCCCCACTGCTCTAGCAGTATCTAAAGCACACCATGGGGCCTCCCTGGTGGCGCAAGGGTTAAGATGCAACCTATGAAGCAATCCGCAACCACTGCAACACCGCAGCATGAGTTCGATTCCTGGCGGGCCACGGAGAAACCCACATGGTGGGACAGACCTCTCCTGCCTCGCCCGCTGCTCCCCTCAGTGGTGTATTTCGTCAGGCTGCCTGTTCTGTCCCCCGCTCTGTCTCTGGTGAATCCTCTCACCTCCTCGCATCTCCGGCCTGTACCCCAGGTCTTGTATAAAAATAAATAAATCATAGGGCCTCCCCAGTTGGCACAGCGGTTGAGCGCTGGGCTGTGAAGCTGCCCACAGCCTCTGCAGCGCCGGTTTGATCCCCGGCTGCTCCCCGGCCACCTGAGGGAGGGTCCCACATGGCGCGCAGACCTCTCCTGCCGCCCGCTGCTCCCCTTAGCAGTGGACTTCGGTCCTTCTGCCTGCTCTGCTCCCCGCTCTGGCTCTGGTGAATTCTCTCACCCACTCGCGCTTCTGATTATACCCAGTGCTTGTATAAATAAATAAATAAAATAAAAAATTTTAAAAATAAATAAATAAATAAATCATTAAAAAAAAAAGAGCCTCTAAAGGCGCATCTTGATGCACGGGTGGGCCAGGGCTTCGACACTGACGGCCTCATGTCCTCGGAGGCAGAACCCGCAGCCCAGAGAAGGAAAGGGCCGCCGCGGCCATGCCACGTCCTCCTCCTCAGAAGCGGCCCCCACCCTTAGCTGCCGCCCCTCCCGGCGCCCGCCGCCCCTCGTGTGCTGGCTTGGGCGTGTCCCAGAGCACGACGCCCGGCCTCGGCCTCAGCCCGTGCGGGCCGCCGTCCACGTTCTCGGCAGATGCCGTCTCCGAGCGGGCGGGCTTCGGCGGGCCGGCGTCCTCAGCAGGCACACACCACGAAGGGGCGGGCTGTGGAGGCGAGGGCAGGGACGCCCGTGGCCCCAGCGCTCCGGGGCCGGAGGGCAGGCAGGCCCCTGCGCGGGCTGGCGAGGGATGGCCCTGCGACACCTGCTCTGGCCTCCGGAGCTGACCCATCTGCCGCCACAGGGCGCGGCCGCCTCTGCTCGGCTGTGAAATGGACACTGCCCCCACGAAGGCCCGGGCAGGACGGCGCTCTCCGGGGCCTGCCGGGCCGGCGGCTGGGGGGCGGGCACACGCGCATCCTCACAGCAGTGCCCCAACCACGAGACGGCGCCTCCACGCCGCCGGCTGTGGGCCCAGACGTGGCGAACCTGCCGAGTGCCGCTGGGAAGACAGCGGGGACACGGACAGTGGGCGGCCCCCAGCCCACTCGCGGAGACGCGTCCTCCCAATGCCCACTTTACTCTTAAACACATGGAGGCAGGGGAGGGGTCACAGAGGCCGGGGGAGGCAGGGGCCCCGTGGAAGGGCCCGAGTCTGGCCGGAAGTGAGGCGTCCAGCCCCCAGTCAGCTGGCCTTGAGCCGGGAGCCCTGGGTGGCGGTCAGGGCGAGGAGGGCCTGGGCGGCATAGTAGGTGCTCATGACCACCAGGCGGGAGTGGGGCAGCGGCCGGACGAAGGTGCTCCAGGCCAGCACGCAGTCTGAGAACGTGAAGAGCAGTGCGCCCCAGCCGGCAATGCCACCCAGGGCCAGGCCACGCCACAGTAGGGTGGCCAGGATCAGCCCGTAGCCGGCCAGGGGCAGCACCATGTCGGGCGACAGCTGCAGCAGCAGCAGGCTGAAGTAGAGCACAGTCACCAGAGCGATGGGCAGCAGCAGGCACAGCTTCAGTGGCGTGAAGCCAAAGTTCCAGATGTAGAACAGGTGGGCCACGGCGAAAGCACCCACACCTGAGGACATGGGGGTGCCCAGTGAGCCCCAAGGTTGCCCCCTTACCTGAGGGCAGCCCTGAGTGCCAGCCCCTGCCATGGCCACCCTCCCCTGCTGTGGGGACTCAGCCGGGACCCCCGCCCCATCCTGGACACTGCCTCGTGAGACCATCTCCCCAGGAGCCTGGGTGATGCCCACCTCAGCTCCTTTTTCCCCTGCCATGGCCACCCTCCCCTGGTGCAGGGTCTCAGCCGAGACACCTGCCCCATCCCACTGCCTTGTGGGGCCACGCCCGTCCCCCTCTCCCCAGGAGCCTGGGCGGCGCCCATCTCGGAGCCTTTGCACCTGCTGGCCCCGCGCCCACGACCGCGCTTCCCCACAGGGCCTGTGTGGGGCCTCCGAAGGCTGCCCGCAGGGGCAGGTGCCTGTGAGGGGGCCCTAAGCCCGGGCCCTCACCGTAGAGGAAGGCGTCAGGCCAGATGAGGCAGGCGTCCCCCACGGCCGAGCACAGGAGGGCCCCCTGCAGGAGTGAGGTGGAGCCGAGGCTGGAGGGCAGGGACCGCAGGAACAGCACCAGGCTCAGCACCGGCAGGCACTTGACCACGGCACTGAAGCAGGACGGCTGGCTCTCGGGGATCCAGAGCAGGAAGTAGATGGCGCAGGACACGACAAAGAGGCTCAGCCACTTGCACGCGGGCTAGGCAGGACAGAGCCTCAGCCTTGGGGTTCCCCCTGCCCCCCTCCACCCCCGCGTCCCAGCGGTTGACCAGCCAGGGCTCGGAGCGGGACTGCAACACCCCCGCCCGGGGACCCCGCCAAGCTGTCCGGTGGGGCCTGCTTGGCCCAGGGCCGGCCTGCAGCCCGCACCCGGCCTCAGGGGACAGGGCAGCTGGGGTTCCCTGGAGCAGGCCCCCGCCCACCCGCAGCCCTCACCTGTGCTGGGAAGCCAGGCTTCCGGAGCTCTCTCCTGGAGTCCATGCTGGCCTGCGACGCCTGGGTGGCCGTCTGTGGGCGCCGCAGCTTTGGGGTGAGGGCAGCGTGTGGTTACACGTTAACCCGAGCAGCGTCCTGTGGACTCTGGGCTGATAACAGGCTGGGGATGCTGCCCCGGCCCTGGGGCGGCCCCGCCTGGCACCAGCTGATAAGGTGCCCATCGGACCCGGGGTCCCACTCCCCAAGCCCTCTACCATGCCTGGGGCCTTGGCTGCAGGGAGGAGGCGAGCCTCAGTGCCCGCCCACTGCCCTGTGCAGCTCCGGGCGCCGGACCCCGTGGGGAGGCCAGTCAGTGGCGGTGGCCCTGCAGAGGCACAGAGAGCCGCCTCCTCCAGGGGCAGAGTCCCTCCCTGGGCTGGGTCAGGAGCGCCACAGGACAGGGACACGGAGGCGTCTGCCCAGCCGCAGCCGGAGAGCAGTGGCGGCTCCTGCCGGCCTGGCACCTCCTCCTCCAGGGCGCGGCTGCCGGGTCATGGCCGGCCACCTACCGCTCCGGGCCGTGGACACAGGGTCCCGTGCACGGCCGGGGAGCAGCCCGTCTGCTTCCCGCTTGTCTGGAAAGCAGGGCCCCGTGGAGCCCAGCGGCTCGTCCGCCGAGGCGGCCCTGGAGGCCTCAGGCCCCCCTGCCCCCGCCCCACCCCCACCCGTGTGTGTGCAGCGAGACACACGGGCTGGAGGACGGGACCCGGAGCTAGACGAGGCCATGCTCCCTCCTCCTGGGCCGCTCCCAGCACCCGCCGGCGTCCAGAAAGCAAGGTCTGAGCCACGGAGTGTCCAACTGTCCCCTTTATTGGTGTTTGTGAGAGACGCTCGCAGACGCTCACGCCGGCGGGGGGCTGGACAAGGGCACTTGGCGGCCGGGCTGGGCCCAGCCCCGGCCCAGGAGGGCCTGTCAGACCCCAGGCCCTGGGAGCTGGGGTCGGCGAGTGCGTGGACCTGGGGTTGTCACGGGGGCCCTGGGAGGGGGACCCCCGGTTCCCAAGGCCGTGCGCAGGGGTGGGGCCTGCAGCCCGGCAGGAGGAGAGTGCAGGGCCGGGCGACGGCTGGGCAAAGGCACGGCCTTGCTGGGCCCAGGGGACGGGAGCCGCGGCCGGGCGCGAGGTGGGCATCCGGCCAAGGGTGGAGCAGGAAGGGGAGTCTGGGGACCCAAAGCAGCCCCCATGGGCGCACCTGCCCACCGCGGCCCGAGTGGCCCAGCTGCCGGCCCCGCGCGCGGATGACACACTTGGGCTGCGCCGCCCCCTCGCGGCCTGTCTTTATTCCCGGAAACACGCTCTGCGTTTCCTCCTCAGTGCAAACGGGGGGCCTGGCTCCCGGGACCAGCCTCCTGGGGACCCAGGGAGGCGTGGACGAGGGATCGGGGCGGCGGGCTCAGGGCCGTGGCAGGATGGCCCTGCCCCCGGGCGGTCCGCGCGCAGCACGAGGCCGGCCACGCCGCCGGGGCCAGGCGATTACCTGGGGACGGGAGAGACCGGGTGAGGGCGGGAGACGGGCGCCGGCATGGCCGCTGGCCTGGGCAGCGAGGGCTAGGGCGGGGTGATGGCCACGTGGCAGCCCCGAGGCCACGCCTGCTCACCTCTGGCTTTGGGGAGGCCCTGGGGGCTCTGGGCTCTTCTCCCCCTCTGTGGCCTGGGGGGGCTGGGGGGCCCCAGAGGCTGGGACAGAGGTAGCAGGAGCTCCGGTTGCACTGTGGGGCAGGGCATGTCAGCAGGCTGGAGCAGAGAGCAGGTGCACCCCAGGGGATCCACCGCCATCCCCACCCCCCACAGGGGCTCCCAGGGAGACCGGCCCCGAAACCTGCCCTCGGGAAGCCCCTCGCCCGACAACGGCCCCTGCCAGCCCCACCGCCTGTCACCTGTCCAAGGAGCTGGGGGTGGAGCCCATCCCTCTGAGGGCAGCTGGGAGGCCCCCAGTGCTGACCGAGGCCTGGCGGGGGGCTGCAGGGAGGAGGTGGGTGAGACGCGGGCATGGCATGGCAGGGCGGGGCGAGTGGGGACGGGGCAGGCGCGCAGGCGGCTCACCAGAGGGCTCCGCTACTTTGCTGCCGTCTGTGGCTTCCTGAGGTGCTAACGGGGGTGCAGGGTCTTGAGGCCTGGGGTTGAGGGGAGGGCGTGCTCAGTGCCGGAGCCAGAGGCCGCTGTCTGAGAGGCCGGGTCGGCCCGCCTGCCCCTCACCTGAGCTGCGGCGCGCCTGCGGCCAGCGGGGGGCAGGGCTCTGAGCAGGGGGTTCCTGGGGCGCAGCCCGGGGCCCAGTGCGGGGGTCCTCCTCCCTGGTGTCTCGGGGGCCAGCTGGGATGTCCACAGGCACGGGCTCAAAGGTGGCTGTCCAGCTGGGGCCTGGGGGGCGGCGGGGTCAGCACACGGGCCGGCAGACAAGCTGGCCAGGCCCCCCGCTCAAGTGCACCCACCGGGAGGCTGAGGGCTGGGGAGAGAGGGGGGCCCGGCCCCTCCAAGGGCTGCTCCAGCGTCGCCGTCCTCTTCGTCCTCCTCGTCCTCCTCGTCCTCCTCCTCGCTGTCGGTGCTGCCCCGGCTCCTGCCCGGAAGCCCCATCAGCCGCAAGGACGGGGTCCCCGCCGCGCCTGGGCGGCCGGGTGCCATGGGCCACCAGGACACGGGAGAGGCTCCCCCACGCCAGGCTGGGGTGCTCTTGCAACCATAGCTGGACAAGGGGGTGCCCAGCGCAACGGGGGGGCCAGACCCCGCCTCCCCGCACACCAGGACCAGCTCAAAGGAGCCAGAGGCCTCACGGAGGCGCTGACGCCCACTCTCGAGGGCAGCTCGTGGGTCGGCGCCACTGCCGCCACTCCGCCGGGCCGGGCCGGGCCGAGCAGCCACGGCTGACCGGGCCACGCCAGGAGGATGGGGCGCCTGTGCCTACCGTGGCGGGGGGCTCCCATCTTTATGCCCGTCCCGTGGGCAGTGAGGGGCTCGCAGGCGGTCAGCCCATCCCTGCGGCCTACGCCACGCCGCCCGCTGCGCCCGGCACAGGCTCCGCCGCGGCGACAGGGACGAGGAAACGTCTGCGGGGCACGGGGCGAGCTCACGCCCCGGACTCGGGAGGGCTGCGCACAGGGCCACCCCACCGCCTTTTCTGAGGACCCTGCGGGCCCCCTGACGAGGGAAATGGGCAGGGGGGGAGGATCCGGGCTCACCTGCCAGGCCGCACCGAAGGCCCCGCCACCCTGGGGGGCACGCACACCCCCGGCCCCGGGGCAGGCTGAGGGCACCCGCCTGCCCTCCCGCCGGGGACAGCACCCGGGGACACTCACCGCGTGCCTGGCGGGCCCAGGCGGGTGCCCCTGGCCAGCGAGCTGCCGTGCCAAGCGCCGTCGTCCCCGTCAGAGTCCCCGGAGCCCGGGCCCCCCTCCTCCTCCTCCTCCTCCTCCTCGTCGTCGTCGTCAAACTGCTGGATGCGGTCCTTGTAGCAGATCTCCAGGAGGCTGGCGTTGGGCTGCGGGTGCGGGCAGGGGGCACTGGGAGGCGGGCGGCGGGCAGGGGGCACAGGGCGGCGGGCAGGGGCAGGCAGGGGGCGCCGGGTGGTGGGTGTGGGCAGGGGGATGCCACATGCGCACAGGGGTGGGCCACGCGCCGGGTGCGGGCAGGGGGGCGCCGGCTGGCACTCACGTTCTCGTCGTCTGCGTTGAGGGAGAAGGTGATGCTGGCCGTCTTGTCGAAGGGCGCGCTGGGAGAGCAGCACAGGGGTGAGGCCCCCTGGCCCGCTGCCCCGTCCCCAGGGCCCCTGGCCATTCCGGGGCCGTGCTTCCAAGCCCACCCACGGGCTCATCCGCGCCCTGGCCGAGGCCGGGCTGGGGAGGGGCTGGTGGGACAGAGCCGGCTGCGGAGCTGTGGACACCCGCCAGGCCCGGGAACGACAGAGGCCGCCTGCCCCTGCCGTCTGGGGGAAGACCCGGGAGGGCAGCTCGCGACCACGATGGTAGCGGGGCTGACGCCGACACGTAGACGACCGCCCGCGAGCAGAGCTCACAGCTCGGACTCCACGGCCTGCACCCGGGGCCCGCCGAGGTGCGCAGCAGCCCCACGTACCTGGCCTGGCCTCGCTCAGCGCCCCTGCTCTGAACACCGCCTGCCCCCCAGAAGAGAAGGCGGGGCTGGGGGAGGGAAGCCGGGCGGGACACTCACTTCACACTCTCCTCCTGCTCTCCAAACTCCTCGTCGTTGAAACCAAAGTGGTCGATGAAAGCTGAGGTCATGCGTTGCATCTGGAAGTCCATGAAGGCCTGCGGGGGACAGCGGTCAGGGGCCAGCGGGCGGGGGTGGCCCCCCAGGTGGCCCGGCACCCCACCTGCTGCAGCACGGCCTCCTCAGGGAAGCTGAACTCCTTGAGCCGGTCGTCCTCGTCGTCGCTGGAGGAGTGCAGGTGGTGGGTGTTCACCTGGCAGGCGGGAGGTGTCAGGGCGCGGGGAGGGGGAAGGGAGATGGGGGGAGGGGGGAGAGGGAGGGAGGGGGACGCCCCTTACCAGGTCCACCATGTTCTTCTTGTTGGTCTCAGCCAGGGGTCCCGACACGAAGGCCTCCCACTGCTCCTGCTGCTCGGCAGGCAGCTCTGCGCACAGAGAGGGGCGGGGTGGGATCGCGCCCAAGAATGCCCGCCCGCCTGCCCGCCCGCCCGCCCGGGGCCCGGCTCACCCTTCAGCAGCTGCGCCAGCTGCTGGGCGTTGGGCCCCTTCTCAGCGCTCTGCGCCAGGGCATTGGCCACGCGCGTCAGGTGGCCCATATAGCCTTTCCGCGGGCCCCCTCCAGACCTGCGGGGCAGAGGCTGAGCTGGACGCCGGCAGTGGCCCGCCTGGCCCGCCCCACCCAGCAGGAAGGGGTGCTCACTGCACGCGCTCATTCTCCTGCCAGGACGTCAGGATGCGCTCCACCAGGCGGCAGTGCTGCAGCAGCTGTGGGCATGGGCAGGGTCTCAGCGGCCAGCCCCCCGGCCCTCCTCCCGCCCTCAGCCAGCCCCCCACCCAGCCCGCGTCCAGGCCTGGGCCCTGCCAGAGGCTCCTCCAGAAGCGTCCTTGTGGGGGCGGCCATCACCCCCCCAGAGCTCTTCCCTGGCCTCCCATTGGGACGCCACTGCTTCCTGGGGTCAGCGTGTCCCACCAGCCCCTGCTTGTCCCCACACTGCTCCCACAGCAACGACCAGCCTCAGGGCCCGTGCCCAGCTGCACTCACATGTTTTATCACGGGGTTCGGAGTGGGCGTCTCCGGGCTGCTGTCGGGAGGGGGCGCCGAGTTCAGCATGGCACTCACACACACCTCCACTTGGGCATGCAAGAAGTTGTTGAACACGTAGTGGAAGAAGAGGTCCTGGGGGACGAGCAGGCTGGCACCAGGAAACCGTGCGCACACCCACGACTCTGGCCACTCCCGCCCTCCCAGCCACGCCATGCCAGCCATGCCCTCCCTGCGGTGCCCCATACCCCACCCCCCGCACCAGCAACGTGTTGGGCACGTCGAGAGCCAGGAGCTCCTGGGTCAGGGCTGCGTCGTTGGCACTCAGGGCGCTGGCCAGCAGTCGGACCACGTGCAGCCGCATGTTGCCCAGTGGGGGGGCCAGGCTGCCCCACGTCGTGTGCAGGGGCTCCAGCTGCAGGCATAGGGGAGGCTCAGTCTGCCCAGGGCTGGCTGCCCCCCCGCCCACCACCCACCCACCTGCCCGCCCCGCCCCACCCGCCCGCCCGCCCGCCCACCCACCCACCTCAGGCGGCTCCAGGAGCAGCTGGTGGAAATGGCTGAGCCGAGGCCGCAGGGCATGCAGGGTGCCCGGGCTGGACACAACACTGTCCAGGGTGGCCTGGGCCAGGAGCTCCAGCTGCCCGTCCACACTGCTGAAGAAGTTGTTCACGGTCACAGACTCGGACCTGCCACGGGGACAAGGCGGTAAGTGAGCCTGTGGCCATGATGTGTGGCTATGGGAGGCAGAGACAGGGTGTCCTTTCGTGGGCCCGAGCAGGCAAGGCTAAGTGAGGTGGTGCAGGCAGAAGCCCCAAGGGGTGAGCAGAGGCCGGCCAGGAAGCACCAGGCAGCCCCTGCCCTCGGCCTCTTCCTGCAGCTGCCAGACAGAACACGCCTCCCCTCCAGGACCACCGGTGTCAGCCCCCAAGGCCTGCGCCCACGCCCCGGTGGCACCTGGGCCTCCTGGGCTCCAGCAGGGTCAGCAGCACCTGCACCCCGCTCACGATGACGGACTGGCTCTGTGTGCCCTCCAGCATGTTGCTCAGCAGCTGCTCCATGGTCTCCTGTCTGGGGGTGGTCAGGCAGGCACGCAGGGGTCAGGGGGAGGCAGGGACAGGGTGGGGCCAGCAGTGGTCAGGCAGCAAGGCGGGGCAAGGCAGTGGGGGGGGGGGCTCGCAGGGCAGGGCCAGGGCTCAGGGAAACGGGTCTGGGCACTGCCCACAAACCCACTTCTCCAGAGTGGCCAGCAGCTGGTCGGGCTCCGGGCTGTCCTGGACCTGGATCATCTGCTCCCGGCTCAGGCGGATGATGTCGCAGAGGGACTGGGAGGCGTTGGAATGTTGCTGGGGGCGGAGAAGGAGCTAAGGACGCCCGTGTGGCTACTGGGCCCTCAGGTCCCCTAAGGGCTGGCAATCTGCCCTGGTCCCTGGAGGCTTCCCAGCTCAGAAGCCCACACCGCCCACCCAGCCCCAGCGGCAAAGCTCAGCCCGCCTGTCAGGCTCTGGGCGGGGCAGGGCGGGGCCTTGGAGGGGAGGGGCTGGGGCGGGGCTCGGGAGGGCCGGGTGGCACCGACTCACAGCCTCGTCTCGGGAAGGGTGGATCTGCTCGATGAGCCGCTGCACGATCTTCTCCTCGTTGAGCCACTGCAGGTGCAAAGGCAGCTCAGCACACGGCCCCGCCCCGGCCTTTCCGTGCCCCGCCCACCCCCCCACCCCGTCCTCACATTGACCACGTCCTGCCTCAGCTGGGGCCGCTCCACGCATGTCAGCAGGCGCAGCAGCAGGTCCATGATGGCTGAGGTGCCGATGTGCTGCAGCAGCAGGTCCACGAAGTCATCCTTCTTCCGCAAGAAGGACACGAGCTGGGGACACGGGGCGTCAGCGGCCCGGGCCAGGTGCCTGCCAGCCCCACCTGCCCACCCGCTTGGATGCCAGGCACCTGGTCGGTCTTGCGGTTGATGAGGATGCCCATGACCTTGCTGAAGAAGCTGGCCAGCAGCGGGTTGAGGCTGCCGCTGCTCTGCAGGAAGCCATAGAGCCGGTTCAGGAGGGCCTCGTCGGCGCCCAGCGCGTCGTTGATCTGGGGCACGTCTGAGGTCAGGATCTCACAGGCCACGCTGGGGTACCTGGGGCCAGGCAGTCACGTCTGGGGGCAGCCAGGGAGGGCGGCGCGGGCTGGCTCAGACCCCCCCACGGCCCCCCTAGGCAGAGCCAGCCACCTGCGGCCCCTCCACTCCCCCACCCTCCCAGACAGCCCACAGCCCTGCCCCGGGCCAGGCGTCCCCAGGGCACAGGCGTCTGGCCACGCTCAGCGGGGAGGGTGAGGCCAGGGACAGCAGTCACGGGGTGGCACGAGGACAGGTGGGCCCGTGCTCGCCCCATGCGGACCTCAGGAGGCGCTGGGACACTGCGGGCCCGAGCGCGTGCAAAGGGCAGACCGGGGGTCCATCCTTCCTACACTCTGTCGGGCCCAAGGTCTCAGGGAAGTACAGCAGGGCACCAGGAGACAGGGGCAGACTGCCGGTCAGCTGCTGGGCCCCCGAATGGCAGGGCAGAGGAGGGGGACACCCGTCCCTGGAGCAGGCCACAGAGGGGAGGGCAGGGACAGAGGCCGCCCAGGACAGACCTGCCCCCGACGGCAGCAACCCAGGCCGAGCAGGGCACTCCCAGAGAACAGGCCAAGGCCAGTGCCCATGTCGTGCTGCAGGGCCCTGGCTGGAGGGTGTGGCGGTCGCGCCTATGGAGACCCCGCAGAGCACCGCGGCGCTCCCTGCGCGGGCTGCACGGGCCCCCTGGTCATCTCAGCCAGAGTCAGCTGGAAAGTGCCAGGAGGCAGCTGCGGGTGCGGCCAGCGTAGGTGGGGGGGCAGGGCGGGGCTCACTTGTAGCGCAGCCTCTCCTCCCCACTGGCCGGGGGCTCCTGCGTGACCCAGGCCACCATGGCCTGCAGGTGTGGCGGCTGCAGCAGGAAGTCCAGCAGCTTGCGGTTGACGACCTTGCACTCCTGCAGCACGTCCTCCTCGTCCAGCAGCTCGGGCAGGCTCAGGTCCTCCCGCTCCAGCAGCGTGTCCAGGTGCGAGCTCGTGTGCAGGTCGAACTTCCAAAACATGGCGCCCTGTGGGCAGGGCCGTCAGCCCAGCCGCCCGCCCCTCCCGGCCCACCCACCCTCCACCAAGACCCGCGGCCGGAGCGGCCCCGGCGACCTACAGAGGGGCCAGCCCGCCCGCCCCTGGCTGGTCCATGGAGGAGCAGTGCGGCAAGCCCCCGGGCCATCCCACAGCCCCATGTCCACCGCCCAGCAGAGACCCTGGCCTGGCCGCCCCGATGTCAGGTCTGTGCCCCCTGCATCCGCCAAGCAGCAGCGCTGCCACGTGCGGCCGGCAGGCGGGCGGGGAAGTGGCTGTGTCTCAGGCTGTGGCCGTTGCCTGGACGCCACAAACACACAACCAAACACACCCGGCCCCTCTCTACGCCCAGCACCGGGACAGGGAAGGGGAAAACCAGGGGGCGGGGGGGGGGGGGGGCGGTGTTCCGGAACAACCTCCCACGAGGGCCCCGAAGGAGCCAGGCGGCTCTGCCCAGCAGGACCGAGACAGCAGCAGGCCCCAGGGAGAGGCAGGCAGGGGACAGGAGACCCTCTCCACCGGCCCCCCCCCCCGTCGAGCCCCTCCCACTGCCAGCTGCTTCCCTGGAGGTGCAGCTGATGCCCTGGACCCCAGGACGCTTTGCACCTGCCACTCCTGCCCCCACCTGCCACCTGGGCGACCACGCGGCTCCGCACAGTCATGGACGCGGCGGTGCCCGCTGGGGATCACTGGGGTGACGCTGCGCTCCAGCCTGCTCCCCCCGGCTCTCACCCGCAATGTGCCCCATCCGCAGGGGCACTGAGGCCACAGGAAACCCAAGGCACCCGCCCCAGGAGACCCAGACCCCAGCAGTGTCCCCGGGGCCAGCCTCGGAGGAGGTCCTGCTGCAAGGAGGCCGAGGAGACCACGGGCCCTGGCCGCCGAGGCCACGGCCACGTGACTGCATTTTGCAGAGGCACCGGAGAGGCGAGCCACAGGGGCGGGGGCCCTCGGGCGGACAGTGGGGGGCGCTGGGGGACCACGGCGGCCGGCCAGCCCGCATATGGGGAAGGGACGCTCTCAGAGCCAAGAGCGCTAAATTCGGCCGCACGCAAGCTTGTCAGCGTCACCTCCGTTGAGAAAGTCCGTTGTGACCAACAGCCCAACGGCCTGCAGGGCTGGGCCCACGCCGGCCACACCGCGCCAGACATGCCGCTGGGCCCCGCGGCCGCCCAGTCCCCCCGCCTGCGCCGCCGAGAACAGGCCCCGGAGCCCCCGCGCCTGCGCGCCCCGCGCTTCCGGCCCGGCCACCCGCGAGGAGGCGCCCGGCCTGCGCGGAAACCGGCCGGCACCCCACACAGGCACCCGGGCGGAGGCCACAGGCCCCCCACCTGCCCAGGTGCGGGCCGGCCGACTTCCCTCCCAGGGCTGGCTTTCCGGAGAAGGGGGTGGGGGTGCCACAGACTGGGGGGTGCTGGGAGGGGGGTGGCTCCCCTACAAGTAAGCGGAAGCTGCGAAGATCCAACTGCACCGAGTGGCGGCAGGGACCGGACAAACATCAGTTCTCAAAGCTCTATGTGCCCCGATGCAGACGCGGGAGAACCGGGGAGAAAGCAGACGGGAAGCTGCCCGCCGCCCCACCCCCGCGCCTCCAGCCCTGCCCGCCGTCCCCACCCCTGCGCCTCCAGCCTCCAGCCCTGCCCGCCATCCCTACTTGGTGGGGGTCACCAGAAGCTCCAGGAACCGGCAGGCGAGGGGGCCTGGTTCGCACTGTGGAACGGGGGACCCGGCCAGGCAGGTGGCCTCCAGCGCCCGGCCCCGAGTGCGCAATGGCACATGGCGGGAGGAGAAGCCGGGCAGGGCAGGGGCGGGCCCGGCAGACTCGCTGACAGGGGGGCAGGCGCCGGCGGAGCTGCCTGCCCGCAGGACGGGCCGGGGCTCAGCCCCTTCGGGCACCGGAGCCTCGCACCCGCGGCCCCCCTTGGCGAGTTTCAGCAAACTCCAAGAAAACGGAAGTGACTGCCACTGGTGCAGCGACCGTTTGAAAGCGTGGCTGGCTGCAAACGGAAGAAGGGGAAACGGGAGGCGAGAAAGGAAGCCATTAAAATGAAAACTACCCCTGGCCGGGCCGGCTCTGCACCACGGCCTCGGGTTTCTGGCTTCGCGCTCTCCCCAGACCAGACACCGGCCACCCCACAGCCACCACCCCTGCCCGGCTCAGACAGGGCCCGGCTGCACCGCCCCGGCCGGCCGCCCTCACCGCTCTGCCCGCCGTCAACGCACGGCCCTCCTGGCCGGCCTGCCCTGGCCCCGAAGCACCAGGAAGCGGAGGCCAAGGGCGCAGAGGCTTCCGGGAGACAAGGCCCCTCGGGCCTGCTGACCACTGCCACTGCAGCCATCTGCGGCCGTAGGCCTAGGCGAGATGGTGGCTGGCAAGTCCCGGGAGGAGAACCTGCCCCCAGCCTCACCCCACCCTCGCAGGGCCCAGTAGGTCGGAGAGCAAGAGACCACCGCCCCGGCCGCCAAGCCAGGTGGGCTCCGCCAAACCTGGAAAGCATAAGCAGCAGCCCCCTGACGGCAGGCCCACGCGGGCCCGCTACACGCCCAGCAGGGCGGACACAGACACCCACTTCGGGAAAAGGGGCCGCTGAAGCAGAGAAGAGGAGGGTCCTGGCACAGGCCACGCGGGAGGGCCTACCAGGATCTTCCCACGCTCAGGAAGGCCTGCGGGTGCCCATCAGGGAACAGAGCCTCCCCTCCAGTCCAGAACCACACTCCCTGGGGGCGCGGCCCGTCTGGCCTGGGGGAAGGGTGGCCAGGAGCAGATCAGACGGGGACAGGCCAAGGATTCCTGAAGGGGCTCAGAACTCACACTTCAGGACCGCGTCCCCGGACCGGTCACGAGGCTAAAGGAAAAGCAGCAGCCGATTTTGAAACAGCCCTTGGCAAAGAGGGAAGGGTGTCTCGGACGACCCCTGTCAAAAGCCTGGGCTCATCTCCCGCCCTGTCCAGACTCCAAGGCCCTTCGAGGGGCACCGCCGAGTCCCTCAAGGCTGTCCCAGCACAGCACTCCCAGCCGATCCATGAAGCCCAGGTTCTGTTTGGGCCCGGAATAAGGACGGGCTCCCCTCCCCCCAGGCGCTGGCCCGGTCACGAGGGGCCGCAGGGAGGCGACTCCACTCAGGAAGTCTCCCGGCTTCTCTCACCTCATCTCCCGCGGCTACCCGCATGGCGCTCCTCCCGCCACACCTGACCTCGCCTCTGCCCTGGCCCGCCGCTCCCTCGAGCTCTCTCCTGCTCCCCAGGCCTGATTAGCTCCCTGGGTCCTTCAGGCTTTGATGCAGACACCACTTCCTCCAGGAAGCCCCCCTGATTGCCTTGGGCCTACTCCCTGCTCCCACAGCTTCTGCCACCAGCTCTGATGCACCTGAGGCTCTGGGTCAGGTCTGGCCTTAGGCCACCTGCCTTCCCCTGGGAACTGACGGCTTCCCAGGGCCCAAGATAAGGCCAGAGAAACTTGTTGAATTAGTGAGAACTGAAGTCCCAAGGAGGAAGGGCGACAGCCGAGATCCTGGCCGCAGAGCCGCGGGGGGACAGCAGGGCCTCCTCTAGAGGGCAGACAGCACACAGCCCACAGGCTCTGCACACCAACAGGGCAGAGCAAACCCAAGTCACAGCCACCCAGCAGCCAGTTGGTCTCTGTGGCCGATGGGTAGATGCTCAGAGCCACAACTGACGCCCGCCCCAGGGCCCACCGGCACGACTGACCAGGCTGGAACGTGCTCTGGCGAGGCCCCTGCACTCCCCACACCAGATGCCAGTAGCATCTCCCCATGACGGCCAAGAATGTCCCTGCTCACGGACAGAAAGTCCAGGCACACAGCGGCCTGGGCTGAGGCCGCAGCCGTCAGCACCCGGGCCCAACGCCACTCCTCAGAGCCTGTCCTGGCGCAGTACCAGCCGCAGGTGGCTGCCAAGCCCGGCCCAGCTACACCCACCCGGGTCTCCTCGCAAGGCCAGGCCCAGGCTGGGCCTGACAGCACAACTTCCTGTCCGGAAAGACCCTGGGCTGCCGGCACAGCCAACGTCTGTGACCTGGGCACAACAGCACAGGCGAGAGCGGAGCGCGCGAGAGGGACCCTCACCCCCGTCAGGCTCCGTGCCTGCACACCAGCCACCCAGCCACCCCAACCGCCCACCGCAGCACACCGCAGTGCAGGAGCCCGCCGGCCACCTTCACGTATCTGCACATGCCGCTCCTGCCGCCAGGAAGGCCCTTCTTCCCACTCTCCATCTGTCAGCGCCCACTCCTCCGCCCCAGCCAGCAGAGCCACCCGCCCAGCCAGTCTCTCCGGTCCTGCCCGAGCACCCTGACTTAGTGCCATCACCACGCCAGCAATTGTGACTGCCTAGCTGGCCTCTGTCACCCCGGGCGGGCCCGCCAGCCCATCTGCCCTCAGCAGGCCGCGCGACGCCGCCTCACAGCAGCAGCTGGGAAGGCCGGGGCACCAGGGCCAGGCCCAGGGGCCCGGGGAGCACGGGGCGCCGCAGGGGAGGAGGGGTGCGGAGTGTTGAGGGGGAAGGAAGGGCCCAGGGAGGCACGAGAGGACGACCCGGGAAGAAGGCTCTTGGGGGCGGTCAGAAGAGTCGGAGCGGGGCAGGGCCCGGGCCGCGGAGGAGCGGGGCGCGGGGAGCCGGAGCTGGAGAAGTTGGTGGGGGCGGCGGGCAGGGGGCAGAGGCGCCCTGGCGGGCAGGGGGCGGGCGGGAGGGCCGGGCGTGAAGGACGGGCGGGCAGGAGGGGCGGACGCGCGGGCCGGCCGCGGGGAGGAGACGAGCCCAGGCCCGCTGGCGGGGCCGGCGGGGCGCTCACCTGCGCGGGGGGGCGGCGGCTCGGCGCACTCGGGGCTCATCGGGGCGCCCCCGCCCCGCCGCCGGCGGCTCCGGCCCGCTCGGGCCCGTCCGTGGGGCGGGGCGGCGGGCGCCCGGGCCGGGGCCGGGGCCGGGCCGGCGGGGCGCGGGGGGCTGGCCGCGGCGGCGGGGCGGGGGGCGGCGCGGCCGCGCGGCGCTCGGCGGGGACGTCGCCGGTGTCCGCGGGGAAGCCGAGGCCGGGGCGCGTCGCCCTCCGCTGGCCGGACACGCGCAGCGGCCGCGCCGCCGAGGACACTCGCTCCGCCGCGCCCTGCGCCAAAGCGGCCGGGCGTCGCGCTGGGCCGTCCGCTCCAGGCCTCGACTCCCGGCTCCGGCCGCCACTATCCCACAATCCCCCGAGCGCAGGGCCGCGGGCGGCCCCGCCCCCTCGCCGCCGTCTCGGGGCGCCTGGGCCCCGCCTGCGCCTGCGCCTGCGCGGCGGCCCGCCGCTCCCCACCCCGCCCGCCGGGAGCTCCGCCGCCGCGGAGGCGCCTGCGCGGCTCGGTGCCAACGGGCTCTCCCCGAATAAACCCGGGCCGCTCACTGCGCAGGCGCGCAGGCGCCCAGGCACCGCGGGCGCGCCTCTCTGCGGCTCCGTTCCGAGACGGCGGAAAGTCTGCTCCGGGATTTCCCCGTCCCGCTCGCTGCCCGCTCGCTGCCCCGAGGACGGCGCTTCCGCCTCCTCCAATCAGACTCCGGCTCCAGGCGCGCCCTCCTGCGCGGTCCAGCTCGCGTTTTCCCTCCCGCCACGGCCAGGCGCCCGGTCCCGCCGCCCGGGTCCCCCCGCCCGCCGGGCGCCACCCCTGCCGCCTGGCGCTGCCCGGAGTGTAGACGGGAGGCTGCGCCGGCCCGCGTCGGTGTCCGCGAGCGTCCCGTCTGGCCCCGAGCCTCAGTTTCCCCAGCTCTCGCGGCCCCTCCCTGGCCCGTGTCGGGAGTGTGTGCACGTCCGGGCCCCACTTTTTCTTGCACCTTTTTGGTGTCGGGGACATTGCAGTGCGCCCCGAGCACGCGTGCTGTGCCTGCTTGGGGCGCAGGGCCGCGGCTGCCCCCGCCCGGGTTAGCTCACGGCAGGAACAGGCGCGCCCCGCCGGGAGGCCTGGTCCCCGCAGCCCCTGTGTGCTCCGTGAGGCCTGGGGTGCTGGTGCCGGTCCAGCTACTGCTGGGAGCCCACAGCTCCCGGGCGGGCCACAGCTGGGGGCTCGCAGGCGGCCAGGGCGCCCGTGTCAGCACAGGGCAAGTGTCAGGGCGCCTGGTTTGCTGCCCCCTTGGGTGGAAGCAGGTCCAGCCACACAGCCGGGCCGGCCGCGGGAAAAGGTACTTGTCTCTTGGCAGTGAGATGGGTAGGGATGAATATTTACCCGACAATTATTTTATTTTACATTTTTAAAAATATTTATGCCACAAGAACTGGGGAACAGGCCAGAGGTGCAGGGGTGAGAGGAGTCCCCAGAGACAGAGTGGGGAGCAGAGCAGGCGGATCCACTGAAATGCACTGCGGAGGGGAGCAGCGGGGAGACAGGAGAGGTCTGCTGCGCCCTGTGGGTCAGCTCCCTGGCCGGGGATTGAACTCACGCTGCAGTGGCTGCGGATAGTTTCATACTGCTGAGACTGAACCCCTGTGCCACCAGGAAGGCCCCTATTTTTTTAATTTTGCATTTTCAAAGGACGGTTTTATTAGGAAGGGGAAAGAAGACGTTTGCGCAGACACAAGCGGGCAGGGGCAAGCTCTTGCAGGACAGTGTAGCACAGGCCTGCTCGTTTCCTGGGGTGTGCGGCCTCACCTTCCCTCCTCAAAGTCTTGTTAGGGGAAAAGAATGTCCTAAAGTAAAGCTAATTCCATACAGGCTTTGTGGACTCCACCCCCACCCCAGGCCAAAGCCAAAGACACTGGGAACTCCACATCCCGTCACCACCCAAGGGAAGGTGGCTGGGACCTGAGGGTGGGGTTCAGCAGCCAGGTTGGTGATATAAAGCCAGACACTGGGCTTTGGGGGGGGTCCCCCATTTTGGCTCTCTACCAGCTCGCAGCGTCCGGCCAGCTCGGAGAGTGCCTTTGGGTTTCCAGGCCGGCGGATCGGGTAGGACGCATGAAAGACTTTATTTCCCTATTTTCTCCCTGAGTTGTACATTTTCCTTATTTCCTTTTCCCTTGTAAATAAACCTTTTATGAACCTTTTGTGTGTCCTGCAGTGGAGTATTAACAAGTCTCTTTTAAGCGCGGGTGAGGACCCACAGCCAGGCAACCCGGCCAATATCGGGGCTGCCCTATAACAGTCTCATTTTAAAACAGCCCCGGGTTCCGGCCGTCCTACAGCTTGGAGCGGTCACTCACTCTGCCTCTGTCCCTGGAGCCCTCTCTCCCTCCACACCAGGATGCACAGCACTTGGCTTGCTCAGCCTCTGCGCAGTAGCTCTTTGAACACTGACGCTCAGAAATTGAGGGGGGGGAGGCTGAAGGGGGTGCAGATTCCGCCACCCGGGACATTCACAAACGTCAGTCTGCAAGAACCTGGGCAGCTGCAGAGCCCCAGCCTGGGTCTGGCCCTGTCCGACCCCCGTCGGTGACGCTCTTGCTGGAGCCCAGCGGCTTCTCAGGGTAGGAAGGGGCCCGTTCCGCGGGCTCTGGGCTTCTCCCCGCTTCCAGGGAGCAGGGGAGGCTCTACTAGACTGGAGGGGCGCCCTGGGCAGCCTCCAGCACCCCCTCGTGGAGCCCTGCCCTCTGCGCCCAGGAGGGGCACGGAGCGCCGCGACACCCCGCGCTCGGAGTCAGCCGGGGGTTCCTGGCCGACCCCGAGCGCGCCACCCCTGCGCTTCTCCTGAGGCTGGGCGGAGGGGAGGGGGCAACCGCGCCGTCTAAACCCCGAGATCCCCGGGGAACCCCACACCGGCGGGGAGGGGCCGGGACACAGGGCGGGGGCCGGCTGGGGAGTCCGCGGGGTGCCCCTGGCCGCGCGCTTGGCCGCGGACGCGCGCGGGCTCGGCTCCGGGTCCGCGCAGGGCGCCGGCAGCGCGGGAGACGCCCCGCAGCCGAGCCCGCGGGGAGCCGGGGACGCGGGCGCCGCCAGGGCGGGCCCTGAATGGCCGGGCCGGCCACGTGACAGCCCGGCCCGCCGGCTCCCGCCCGGGGCGGGCACGTGGGCGCGCGGGGGCCCGGCTGGGGCGCGCAGGCCGGGTGGGGGGTCTGGCCGCCCCGGGGGACGCGCGCGCAGAGGAGACGCAGGGTCCCGGGGAGGCGCAGTCACACTTTATTGTTCCCGGTTCCGCCCCCGCCCGACCCTCCCCAGGAGGCGACAGGGCAGCCGGGAGGGGCGGGGCACCTATCCTGGGAGTGTAGGCAGGGGGCGCGGGGTGCGAGCGCGAGCGCGCGAGAAGTGGGGTCGCGGAGCCTAAGCCTTGGCCAGCCCCTCCAGGGGGCCGGCGGAGGCCAGAGAGGCGTCTGGGCCCGCCGGCCCTCCGGGAGGGGACCTCGGGGTGGGGCTGGCACGGGCCTGGGGTTCCCACAGGGCGGAGGCGCACCGGTTTCACCGGTCCATGCTGTCGTCCGTCGGGCTGGAGAAGCAGGTCTGCAGGAGCTTCTCGCAGAACTCCAGCTCCTCCTGCAAGGGCAGGGGGTGAGCTGAGAGGGCGGAGGCGGCCGTGCCCCTCTCCCAGCAAGCCATGCTCCTCCCTCCCCAAGGCCGCTCCGCCTGCTCACCTTTGGGCCTCCTGTGGCTGGATTCGCCCCTGACCCTGACCCTGACCCTGAGGTCTGCGGTCTTGGGTCTGAACCCACTTGTCTGTCTTCCCGGCAGTCCCCTGGGGCTCTTTCTAACTCCCACACACTCCACCCCACCCCTGACCTAGCTCTGCTTGAAGATCCCCCCTTGGATACAATCTCCTGGGACCCAAGCAGCGCTGGCAGGAAGGCCTGCGTGGGGGCTGCACGGCGCCAAGAGGCCAGAAACCAAAATGACAGAAGGCACAGCAGCGGGAGGACGCAGGGGTATTCCCGCTGGTCCCAGAGATCCAGCTCTTCAGCAGCTTTGAGAAACCAGGCGCTAAACCACCACCTGACAAACAGGCCAAGGGTACAGGGAGCACTGGCGACAGGAGCGGGTGCCAGGGCAGAGCGGGGGCCACAGCAGCTCAGGCCGCCGTGGCAGGGACAGGGTCCGAGCCCGGTGGCAGGCACGGGCACTAGTTCGCGCTGGACAGCAACTGGGGACAGTTGATGCAATGACCCTCCAGTCCTAGCCTTCACCCTTGGCCACCTTCACCCAGCCCGCCCCTCTGGACGCCTGCACGGCAGACACCCACACTTGGGGGCACGTGTAAAGGTGAGTCCTTGGCAGAGCCGGCAGCAGGGAGACACTGACGCCCGTCGAGGGGCAGTCAGTGGGGGGCTGTCCGGCAGCCGCGCACCCTGGGGACAGGAGGGAGAGCAAGGTAAGGAGAGGTGGTGGGGAGAGGCTGACTTTGCACAAAAGGGGGTTCGAATCTTTACGCAAGTTTGCTCGTCTGTCTCCGCGAGGGACCGGGAGAGGTGCTGGGAGACAGGAGCAGGATGGGGGGAGATCACCTCCCCGTTCACCTTCCCGTGCCCCTCACCTCACCACAGACTATTCAGAAACGCTAGAAATTCAACTCTCTGGTGCCCACAGAAAGTCCTGCCAAAGGGGACTGGCAGATACGAGACCAGTCACCTGGCAGGACGCCGTCCGGCTGACAAGCCTGGAAGATTCCCAGGACAGCGCAGAGCCCCGTGGGGAGGCCAGGCGAGAATAGAGGCAGAGGTTAGGGGTGCAAGCACTGGGCAGGGGGCGCCAGGACTGCCAGCCGCTACCCAAAGCCAGAGGGGGACGGCTCTGTCCGGCCGCTTGCACGTGTGCGCACGCCCACCCCGCAGCTGCGTGCCCGTCACCCCGCGAGCCCCAGGCTGCCCCCTCTGCTCCCCCCAAGTCTCCAGCACCCACGGGCCTGGCACGTGACTGACCCCTGAGGGGTGTGTGCGTGGCCGACGGCGCCCGCCGGGCAGAGGGCAGCAGGTGAGTGAGAGATTCGCCGAACCTGACCGGGTGGCGGCATCACTTAGCGCTCAGTAAGCGTCTGAGTGGCTCGTTAGTCGTTTCTCACTCAGCTGTTGCTTGTCTGAGTTACTTGTGCTCTGACAGCCACGCCATCAAGCATCTGAGCATCTGAGGTGCTGCCTGTTGAAACAGCCAGCGCGCCCTCCTCTGGAGGCGGCACTTCTCTGGCCACTTGGTGGCTCTTTCCCATTTGCTATATATCAATCTAGAAATGTTTATTAAGTGAGTGATACGATGAAATAATCACATTAAATAACTTTGATAATTAAATAACTTTGATAATTAAGGCCGCGGCCCAGGGGGCGCTCACACCAGGCCAGGGCTGGGCAGGTGCCCACACTCCGGGGAGACACACCTGCATGGCAGAGGAGGCCACACCCCCACAGCAGCTGCTGCACACCGGGCTGCGACCGCCCACACCAAGTCTCTAGTCTCTCTCGAGTCTAAGGGAGTATCTGGCAGTCTCCCCGCCCCTCAAATGCCACAACCCCTGACCATGGGTGCTTGCCAAGGGGGCGGGGCAGGCCCCGCCATAGGACTCCTGCCCTCCCCTACCTGGTACTCCTCGTGCTGCTGCAGGAGCTGGCAGCGGTGGCGGAGCAGCTCCTCCAGGCCCAGCTCGGGCTCCCGGCACTCCCGCACGCCCTGGGGGAAGTCTGTCACCAGGCTGCGGGGACAGGGGAGCAGGGCCTTTCATCTCCTAGGCTGCACACCTGCACTGCCCTCTCCCCCCAGCAGCGCACTGCACAGACCCGCCCCCGCACCTGCACAGGGCTCCCAGCACGTGCTCGTGGAAGGGGCTATGTTCTGTCCGCACGAGGGCCACCAGCTGCTGCACCATCCCCATGGAGCACAGTGTCCCTGCAGGAAGGGCTCGGGGGTCACAGGAGAGGCCCCTCCCCACCCGGGGTGGCCGATCCACTCCCTCCACTCCCCTCTGCCCCCCTAGAGGAATAATACCCTGGCCCCCTTCCCCCTGGGGGACCATCCCTGGCCCACTCCCTCTTGGGGACCACCTTGGCCCTCAGCCCCACAGCCCTACCTTTGTGTTCGGGGTGGCCCAGCAACAGGTTCTGCAGCAGGAAGGCCGACTTGACCTGGAGCTTCTGCACCTGCTGCTGCATGGCCCGCATCAGCACCGAGAAGCCGTCCAGGCGGAGGAACTGCAGCAGCCCCGCCTCCTGCTCCCGGACCAGGCCTGCGGCAGGGAGGGGCGCACAAGGCTTGAGGCGGGTCGTTGTGACCATCACTATCATCATCGTCGTCACCACCTCCATCACCTCCATGACCACGTCCATCATCCCCATCACCTCCAACACCTCCATCACCATCACCTCCATCATCATCACCTCCATCACCTCCACCACCACCGTCACCTCCACCACCACCCTCACCCCCTCCAGCACCATAGATCTGGGGCCTGCGCTTCCAAGCATAACCTTTCCCGGCGCCTCTCTGCCAGGACGTAACTGACGTGAGCAACTGGGACGTCTCTGCTATGCCTGGCCCCATTCCAACTCGTGGCGCCCCTGGGGACCCAGACCCTGCCTGCTTTTGTGGCCCATGGCCAGGCCTTTCGCTTACCGGTTTTGTATGTGCCTTCCAGATGCTACCTCCTCCGACACGCCTGCCCTCGGTCCTGCCGTTCCCCCCCACCCGTCTCCTCCTAGCAAGCCCCCCGCAAGGTCCCTCCCGTGGCCACCCTGACATGGTCTGTGCCCATTGGGTCAGTCCTCTGCTCCCACTGCAAGCTCCTAAAGCCCATGGTAACGGGAAGGCTTTTGTCCTCATGAGGAGCCTCGGCTGGGCTCCTGGGTGGCGGCTGTGGCCAGCAAGACCACCAGCTGCTAAGCCTGGTGCTTCCAGCCCCCCCACCACTCCTCAGAGGAGGGGGAGGGGCTGGAGGCGGGGTCAGTGATCAACTGTGACCCTTAAGCCCCTCCTGTCAGGGAGCTTCCAAGGTTCTGAAGCAGCACAGGCCGGGAGGGCACCCTGGCTCCGCGGGGATGGAAACACTGTGACCGGGGCCCCCTGCCCTGTGACCCACCCCAGTGCTCCCCTGCACATCCAGCATGGGCTTTGCGATCAGCCTCGAGACCTGGGCAGGCATTTCTGACTCTGTGGGTCACTCAAGGAGGGTCCTGGGGGCCCCAGCTTGTAACCACACCCTCCGAGGTAGGGAAGAGCCAGCCCCGGGAGCGGGCACTGAAGTGGGACTCAGCCCCCAGCATATGGGCCGGCGCCGACTCAGTGAGCATCCCTGTGGGGCTGCAGGACAGTTGGGACTCCTGGGCCCCCCACCTGGCCTGTCGCTGACCGGGACCGTCACTCAGCCATCAAGGGGCTCCGGTTCGGTACCCAGAGGCCCCGCTCTGCACGCAGACCAGCCGGGTCCCCACACCCCTGCCCCCTCCCTGCCGCCCTGGCACTCACAGGAGATGGCGAAGAGGGCCTTGACGCGCACCAAGTCACAGGCGTCCCGGTCCAGCAGCCGTAGCAGCTTGCGCAGGGCGCCGAGGCCCAGCACCTGCTCCTGGATGGCGGCCACGTTCTGGCTGCACGTGCCGATCAGCTGTGCTGCGCGCCACCGCAGCCCTGCTGGTCCCGCCTCCAGGTAGCGGCCCACCAGCAGGTGCATGCCCGACAGCTGGCAGAAGTCTGCACGGGAGGGGCTGTGTCCCGAGCCACTCATGCCATCCCCCACCTGCGGGGAAGCCCATGGCCTGCCCCAGCCCTTCCGCCTCAGGGTCCTGGCACTGCCATTTCCCCTGTCTGGAAGGAACCACCCGCGCCCTCGCTTCCCGTCTCCAGCCAAACGTCACCCCTCAGGGAGCCCTTTCCTGCCACCAGCCCTCATCCACACTTGGGGGACAGTGGACCCGGGCACAACAGCCAGCTTCGGGAGCATGGAGGCGGGCGGCTATGTGGGGCGAGAGAGGGCACCGTCGTGGCTCCTCAGGGCTGGGGGCACAGCAGAAGGGACCCGAGCCAGACTGGGTGGGGAGAGGCCGGAGGCAGGGAGGCCAGGAAGGAGGCCGACTTCTTCCAGAGGCAGGAGGGGAGCCAGCAGGGATGGGGGCCGGGTACCTGCAGCATTGTCCATGTTTTCACACAGGTCCGCCAGCAGCTCCAGGGCGCCCTCGCGCTCCTGCTGGTCGGAGGCCAGCTCGGCCTCGTTGGCAGAGGGGGGCGTGGGCTGGGACAGCACCCGGAGGCAGTGCTTCATCTGCTCGACCTCTTCCCGCTGACCTCGGAAGGCGGCCGACATGGCCTCCTGCAGCCACTGGCGCCTCTGGGGGGGCACAGCGGGTGGGGGAGAAGCAGACCTCCATCAGTTAGGCAACCAGGCGTCACAGTTGTCGATAACGCCATCCGCCCTAACAGCTGACCGCCTTCGATCACGGCAAGTATGGGATATTTTCTGGACACTTAGGGATACAGCCCTGAGCCTGACAGACGCTCCTGCCGGGAGGGGCTCCAGTTCTGGTGGGGGCACACCAACAAAACAGCGTGCTATGGCAGGTGCCTGGGAAAGGTCACAGGGATGGGGTCGGGAGAGCGAGGTGGCACCAGGAGGGTAGGGAGTGAGCTGGGCAGACCCTGGGGCTGCTGGGCAGCCTCCCTGATCTGCACCCGCCAGACACTAGCAGCAAAACCCCCCTCCCCCAGCTGTCACTTGGGTGCGGATGAGTAAGGATGAAAACCAGCAGACTGTTGTTCCCGAGGCCCAGGGGGTGGGGTCATAAGGCCACATGCGAGGGAGCGGAGAATTGGTGACTGGTTTGTTTTTTCTGTGCCAAGCTCTGAGCCAAGCACTCACACGAAGGTGCCGATACCACAGAGCTGGGTAAATCTGGGCGGGAAGCTTCCTCTGTGCCTGTCTCCCACCTTTCTCACTGGAAAGGTCCCGCGACCGACATCAGGGGTACGGGCTAGCACCGCGTGCAGTCTACAGCCACCACCAACTCAACATCAAATAGTAATAAAAACCGCTATTAATCTTCAAAACAAGCCTAGGAGGAATGTGTGATCTTAACTTCACAGATGGGAATCCTCATGTGGCTGAACTGAGGCACTGAAAGGTAAGACCCGGCCAAGGTCACGCGGTCAGCAACCTGCACGACCCGAAGCCGCCTGAGCTCAAGGCCCGTGCTGTCCCCGAGAACCCCGGAGCACTGTGTGGAGGCTGCAGAGCCCTCAATAAGCTGGACCCCCAGAACTACTCTGTGAAGAGCGTTGTCATTATTATCTCATAAAGGAAGAACTTGCGGCTCAGAGTGATGCCGTGGTCAGCCCCGGGTCACACAGCTGGATGACGCTGAATCCAGGTGTGTCAGGCTCTGGAAAGTGCTGCCTTTCATGTGACACGGACGTGTTCTGCCTCCCAGCACAGTGCTGGATGCGGGGACGTGACCTTCGTCTACCTGAACCCCCTCTCGCACCATGGAGCCTCTATGCCTGCCCACCTGGACTCACGCCCCACCCAGAAAAACCCCTGCTCCGATTGCCCAAGTCCCCTGCCGAAGCTACCCTGTCCCACGCACCTCACCGCAGTTTCTGGGGTCCCACGCTTACCTCCTCGCTCATCGGTTCTGGAGGGGGGTCTGGCTCCTCAGAGCCCGCGGTGATGGCCATCTGCAGCAGCCCTTGGAGGTTGCGCGGGGGCGGGGGATTGTCGGAGCCCCCAGTCGAGGAGCCGCCGCCCCCCGACGAGGACCCCTGGGAGGCTGCGGGCAGCGCCAGGGGGAGGCGGCTGCCCCCGGGGCCTTGGTCCGCCATGGGTCGTTTGTGCGGAGGGGAAGGGCGACTGGGAGAAGGTCGCGCGCTGAGGGAGCTCTGCGTCCTGACGGGCCGACTCCAGGGGGTCTGCGAGGAGCGCCTGCTGCTGCTTTGCTCGACCTCGGCGTCCCCCCATGACCCCGAGCCACGCTGCCCACACCCTCCGTAACCCCGGCCCCCTTCCCAAGCTCGGTGCCAGCAGGACCCTTCCCAAAGTCCTAAGCCCCTCCTCCCTCCCTAGCAACAGGCCCCACCCACTTTCCCTAGCAACCGAGCAAACCCCCTCCCTCGTCGCAGCGCCTCGCGTTCCCGTCTCTTGGCAACCCCACACCCTGCTTCCACAGCAACGAGCCCGCCCCTTGGGCTCCTCGAGAACCAGTCTCCTCCTCTCCGAAGACGGCAACCAGAGCGCGACGGGTCTCACCTCCGCGGGCCTCGCGTCGCCGCCGCTAGTAGACACAGAGTCGCCCGCACCTGACGCTACTGGGCGCCGCCATATTGCCAGGAAATGCGCACGGGCTCGCCAGGAAGTTCCCGGCGCGCCCCCCCACGCCTCAGGGCGCTGGTCCGGCACTTAATTCCTTCCCGCCCAGCCCGACGCGGCGCTCGGCCCCGCCTCGCGGGGGGCCTCCGCCCCGGCGCTCGCGCCCTGGGCCCCGCCCCTCGGGTGACGCCCCCCGAGAGCCCCACCCCTGCGCGGAGGCCCCGCCCCCAGGCCTGGCCCCGCCTCGGTTGGATGCCGCCGACATCCATCATCCAGGCCCCTCCACTCCGCCTCGGGCCTCTGAGCCAGGCCCCGCCCACCCCCCCTCAGGCTCCGCCCCTGCCCCGGCCTTTGAGCCGCACTCCGCCAGGCCCCGCCCCCCGCGCCGGCCCCCGCCCCCGCCCCATCGGGTGCGTCGGCCGCTCCCCGTTAGGCCCCGCCCACCCCGCAGCCTCGCCCCCCTGGTGTTTGCTAGTGGTTGGGGTCCCCCACTGTCAGGCTCCTCCCCCTGCTCCTGGACGGCTCTCAGGTGGAGCCCCCGACTCACCTGTGCCTCCTCAAGGCCCACCCTCTGTGGGCCGCCCGCTTGCCCTTTGTCCCTTCCCGGAGCTGCGGGCCTGCCGGGCCTGCCTGCCGGGCACCAACTGTGCTGCCCCTCAGTCAGCAGGATGGCCTGCAGCGGAGGGCCCGGCAGGTGGTGGGGCGTGGAGGGGGCCTTTTTGGGGACGATTTTGCTTTAGGCTGGGCCTAAAGAGACCTGATTCTAATCTTCATAAATGGCCCCCTCCAGGAGACGGCTGTATGCAGCTGGGGTGCACAGGGCTCGGCCTGGGTGTGCAAGCGATATTTGGGGTCAAGATGGATGGCAGAGTGTGTGTGCACGCGCATGCACCGCCGAGGAACCCTGGACCAGTGGTGCCTCATTTTCCCTGTTGCTGCCTTTAGCAAATTGTCAAAAACTTGGTAGCTTAAAACAACACAGATCTATTATCTCATAGTTCTGGATGTTGGGAGCCCAACATGTTCTGTTGGAGCGAAAATCGAAGAGTCACTAGGGCTGTGATGCTCGGGAGCACCAGGGCAGAGCCCACCTCTGCCTGCTTTAGCCCCCAGAGGTGCCCGCATCCCTCGGTCACAAGGTTGCAGCCTCTACTTTTGTCTCCCCTTCTCCTCTCACAGTGACCTCCTTTCTCCCTCCAAAGGACCCTTGGGGTTACATTTCACGTCCAAGGGCCAACCTAGAATTATCTCCCCATCTCAGTCCCTTTAACTGCACCTCCAAAGTCCTTTTTGCCAAATGAGGTAACAAGCAGATGCTGGGAATTGAGAAGTGGATCCCTTCAGGGCCCAAGATTCACCTGCCATACTATGTACCCCTACGTACAAGTCTACCCCTAATACGTGTGTGTGGTTATATGCTACACCAGACGGATACATGCAGTTGACCCTGGACAACGCCAGGGGTAGGGGTGGCCAAAAATCCAGGAGTAAAAACTTAACTACAGCCATCACTTGGTAATCACAGGGGTGTGGTTCTAGACACCCCCAACCTGGGGGTACCGTAATCCACAGATGCTCAAGTCCCTTAGAGTTGGCCCCACAATGTTCAAGAGTCTGTATTTGAGGATTCAGCCAACATCCAAGGATGGCTGAACATGTGAAGGCAGAAGCTACAGATAGAAACAAATCTACATAAAGTGGACCCGTGCAGTTCAAGCCAGTGTTGTCCCAGGGACACCGTATACACTCGGTGTGTTGTTGGATAAGAGAAACGTGAGTAGGGTAAAATATGAAGGTGCCCTAGATGAAAACTGCGGAGTACCCTGTAAAAGCCAGGGCCTTTGCAATGACCTCTACGTCAGCCGATCACCTTATTTCCCGTCCATACGGAGACACTTGAGTGTGCAGGCACACCCTGTAAGTAACTGCAGAGTACCAGGCGTGGACCAGGCATGGGATCACCAGCCTTCTGAGCCCAGTTGGATCTGCCTCCTCCCTCTCGCTCTCACTCCTGCCCAGCCACCCTGGCCCCTTCAATGGTCCTGCCACATGGTAGCCACACTCCTGCCACAGGGCCTTTGCACTTACGCTGCCTCTGCCTGGAAGGCTCTTTGAATTTTATCCATAGGTCAGGCCATCACTTTCCATCAATGGCCTCTGGTTGGTGAAGTTGCTTTTGCACACTGTCTAAAATCATGCCCTGGGCCTCCCCTGGTGGCGCAGAGGTTGAGCGCTGGGTTGCAAAGCTGCCCGCAGCCTCTGCAGCGCCGGTTCGATCCCCGGCTGCTCCCCGGCCACCGGAGGAGGGTCCCACATGGCGCGCAGACCTCTCCTGCCGCCCGCTGCTCCCCTCAGCAGTGTCCTTCGGTCCTTCTGCCTGCTCTGCTCCCCGCTCTGGCTCTGGTGGATTCTCTCACCCTCCCGCGCTTCTGACTGTACCCAGTGCTTGTATAAATAAATAAATCAATCTTAAAAAAAAAAAATCATGCCCCGCCCAAAGAAACATGTCCTGTGTCCTTCCCTGCGACTGTCTCCTCTTTAGCCACAATCATGACTACCTAACACACCATCCATGGGGTCTGTTAATCTATCATCGCCCATGAGCGGGACCTCTGCTGGGCTGGGCTAGGGCTGGACCCTCAACACTCACAACAGAGCCTGGCTCCAGCCGGGCGTTCAGGAAAGCTTCATGGAGTGAAGAAAAGATGTCTTCCTAAACAGGAGACTAAAGGCGACATGTACAGTTCATAGGGGGCTCCAAGATTTAATGCGGGGGGGGGGGGGTGTTGCCAAGCACTTCTGGACGTCTAATACAGGGGAGTCCTGGATTACACCGAGATAACGTGGACACCCAGTGGAGGCTCGCGGGCTCCCCGGGGCTGGACACAAATCCATGGATCACTGTAGTGGGGATGTATGGGGCCCACAGGAAGAGCTGGGGGACCCTATGGTGGACACAGAGAATATGCAGGGGCCAGAAAGAATACACAGCAACCTCAGGGAGTTCTGGAAGGTTCTCTCTAGGAGCATCGAGTGCCCTAGATGGAGATTAGGTTGAAGATGTGCTGCAAATCTGCTCCGGGGAGGCTGTGCATGGCTAGGGGACAGGGTGGTGGGGGCAGGTAAGGAGACCTGGGTGGGCTGGGAGGGTGGGGGTCCTGGGTTGGCAGCTCCAAAAGTTCCTTCCTTCTCTGTGCTTCTGCCTCTCTGTGCCCTTCCTACCTGTCTCCATCTCCCCGGGGCCGCACCTGGCAGCCCACCTGCGTGGGCCCCCCAGCTCTGTCCTCTCCGCAGCTGTCTCCCCGTCTCTCCCCATCTCCCCCCGCCGCCCGCCTCCTCCTCACCTGGTCCCCGCCACCTGTGCCGCGTCCCTCCTGCCCTCCGACCTCCGCCCCCCCCCGCCTCCCCGGGCCCCACTTTCTCGTCTCCCCCCTCCGCCCGTCCCTCTGCTCCTCTCTCTGCCGCCAGCCTCGCGTCTCCCCGGCAGCTCCGGCCGCCCCGTCCTCGCTTCCCAGCTGCGGCTCCCGCGGACGCCGGGCCCGGCCGCGCATCCCGGCCCCGCGGCGGCATCGCGCTCCGGCCCGGGCCCCGCGCCCCTCTCCCCGCGCCCGTGCCCGCAGCCACCCCTGCGCGGCCCCCCGTCTGCCCCCCGCCCCCGCCCCGCCCGCAGCCCTCCCGCCGCGCCCCTCCCGCCCTCCTCCCGCCCCGTCCCCGGCTCGAGGCCCGCCCCTGCCCCCCGCCCCCCTCCGAAAGGGTTAACTTTGGGGAAGGGCCGGAGTCCCCGGATGGTGATGTCAGCGTGCCGGAGAGAAAGGACGAGGTGGCGGGGGGAGGCGGAGAGGAGGAGGAGGCGGAGGAGAGAGGGCGCGTGGGGGGGCGGGGGGGACCTCGGCCTGCAGCATCCGCCGGCCCGCACCTCAGACCCCCCCGGCGGGGGAGGCGCAGGAAGGGGGGGGCCGGCCGGAGACGGGCTGGGGAGGGGGGGCCGCAGCCCCCCCCGGCCAGGCTGACTCCCGGGGCCTGACCCCCCCGGGCCAGCCCCCCCTCCCCCAGCTCCGCGGCCCGCCGACTGGGGGGGCCCAGCCCAGCCCCCTGGGGACCCCCGGAGAGGTGGGGGGCAGCCGGGGGGGCCGGGACGGAGCGGTCGCCGGCCCCCACCGGAGGGACGGGGCGGCCGGCCGCAGGGGGGGCGGCCGGGGGGCCGGTCGTGCCGGGACCAAGGGCACCATGTCGTCCGGGGCCAAGGAGGGGGGTGGGGGCTCTCCCGCCTACCACCTCCCGCACCCACACCCACACCCACCCCAGCACGCCCAATATGTGGGCCCCTATCGGCTGGAGAAGACGCTGGGCAAAGGACAGACAGGTGAGCCGGGCGGGGACGCGGGGCTGAGGGAGGCTCCGACCTCGGAGTCCTGGTCCCTCACAGAGAAGGGACTCGGGGTCCAGATGGCCAGGTCCCCAGGATGGAGCCGCAGGGCTCAGACTCGGGTTGGGGCAGGAGGGGTGGGGCCTGGACGCCAGAGATGCTGGGACTGGGGCCCCGGCCCGAGGCTGGGTGGCCGGGGCGAGGAGGGTGCCGGCCTGCGGCCTCAGCGCCAAGGCCAGGTGGGGAGCCAGGTCCTTGCTGCAGTGCAGCCGCAGGCCGGGGCGAGGTGCCGGGATGGGGGCGCGCCTGCCAGCCGCTCCCTCCGCACTGCCCTCGGGCCTAGGAGGGCTCTGCTGGCGGGTGGGGGGTGTCGGGTCTGCACCACTCCCCGCTCCACCCGCGTGCGGGCTCGGTGCCCCGGCCGTGGAAGGGGGTCGGTCTCCACTGCTGAACAGCCACCAGCGGTGGCATCCTTCCTGCCGGGGGTGCGTGCGGGGCTGGAACGGCACACCGCACCTCCGCGGGGGGTCCGGGAGTGGAGCCGGGTCTCTGGGAAGCTGAGGGCCGGGGTCTGAGGTGGGAGGGGGACAGGTCGGCCCCTAGATCCGCCTGCTGAGCGTGAAGGTGCTGCTGACCCAAATTCCTGACTTAGGGGAAAGGGAGGGCGCGGGCAGAACTCGCGGGTGCAGAGGAGGGCTGGGGGCCTGGAGGCCGGGGTCTGGGGGAGGAGGGGCTGGGGCCTGGAGCCCTGGCCGGTCTGAGGAGGGGGCACAGACCCCCGGTCTGGGGGAGGGGCTGGGCCTGCCTCCTGTGTCTTCTGGGGCTTCCCCGAGCAGCCGTCAGCCACTGTTCTCTCAAAGGGGGACCGAGGGGTCAGGGGTTGGAAGGAGGCGGAGGAGGGTCCGGGAAGGGAGCAAATGTGGGCCGATACTTGCCGGGAGGCCTGGGTCTCCAGAAGACTGAAGCACTAACAATGTAAGAAGCGACGGGCCCAGTCGGGTTTGAAGGAGGCAGACTGGGGCAGACAAAGTATGGAGACGTGAACTTAAGCAGACACACCAGGACCGACAACGGGGTGAGGGGGGTGGGGGGCGTCCAGGGGAGGGCGTGTGGATGGTCGGTCAGGAGCAGGAGCAGGCTCCGCGAGTGGGGAGAGGGCTGTGTCTGGGAGGGAAGGCTGAGGCCTGCAGTTCAGGTCAGGGGGATTCGGGCCCCTGTTCATCAGCCAGCAGGGGAAGGAGGTCGTGAGGTGTGGCAAGGTGGGCATCGCAGCCAGAAGAGGAAGTGTGCTCGGGCACACGCCCCCCCCCCAACTGTTAATCCTACTCCCCCCAGGGCTGGTTAAACTCGGGGTCCACTGCATCACGGGCCAGAAGGTCGCCATCAAGATCGTGAACCGGGAGAAGTTGTCTGAGTCGGTGCTGATGAAGGTAGGGGTGGGGGCCTGCTGGGGTTGGGGGGCGATGGTGGGTGGGGCCACCTGGGGTGGGGCAGGCCATGCTGATGTCGGGCGGCGCACCCCCAGGTGGAGCGGGAGATCGCCATCCTGAAGCTCATCGAACACCCGCACGTCCTCAAGCTCCACGACGTCTACGAGAACAAGAAATATTTGTAGGTATTTATAGACACCCGCCCGCATGCTCCCTCCCCGACTTCCCAGGGCGAGACCTTTCTGGAAACAGGAAATCGAGCTCTCCGGGCTGCAGCACTGCCAGCCCAAGCCCTTCCCCACTGCCGAGGGCCACCCCACAGCGCCCGCGCCGACGGGCCTGATGCTAAGGGTCGGGGCCACCTCGGCATCTGGCAGCCGGGCCTGCCCCGTGAGGGGCACAGAGGCCAAGCCCGCCCCGGCAGGTCCTCGCCCAGGCCCGCTCGCTAAGGGCAGAGCTGAAGCAATGGCCCCGGCAAAGCCAGGCCCAGCAAGGCCTCCCTCTTCCCAGCCCCCCACTCCGGGGCACTGGCAGCCGCCCAACTTAGCCGTGACTGGGTACCCCAACAATGGGCCTCCTTAGGCGTCCTGAGACCGGATCTCAAAGTCGGTTACCCCGGGAAGGGTGGGGGTGGCGGCCAGCTGTCCAGCTCCAGACAATAGGCCTTTGTCCGGACTCTGGTGACCAAGGCACAGCTGGGCTGCGCGGCGGGAGAGGGGACAACCCCCCCACCCCGCCATTCCCGGCCGTGCCCACACCCTCGGTTGCCCGGGCGGGTTCCCCGCGGCCGCGGCCGCGGCCGGCCCGGCGCTCATGGCAGCAGGAGCGCTCTGGTTCCCGGTGCGGCCGGAGGCCCGGGCCCAGCACCCCCGCGGCGGCCCTGGGGTCGCGCCGTCGGGCGCTCAGGAGAGCACGTGCCCCCGGGCCTGCGGGGATGGGCGCGAGGGTCCCGGCGGCGGACGAGCCAGGCGGCCTCGGGCCCCGGGGGCTGATGCAGCGGTTTCTGCAGACTGGTCCCTGCGCTAACGGGCGCCGCCCCCGAGCTAACGGGGACTCCGGTGCCCACCCCGGAGGCTTGTGGGGCTCGACGGCTGGGCCGCGGACCCAGCGTGGCCCTGCACTGCCCGCGACGCCGTAAAAATGGGCGTCTCCGTTCGCCAGCGCTCGTGGCGTTGGCTTGCCCCGACGCTGGCAGAGGGCAGCCGCCAGGCTGGTGGGGTCGGCCGTGCGCTTCCCCACGCTGAGGGGACGCTCTTCCTCCACAGGACGGACGGGAGTTGGATTAGCCCCTCCCAGGGGCTGATGGGACTTGTAGTCCTTACCACCCTGGGGGCTAATGGGGATTTGGGTTTTTCCCCCGCTGTGGCTGGTGGGAATTGTAGTCTTTGCCGCGCCAAGTGCTAATGGGATTTGTAGTTTTCCCATCGCAGCAGTTGCCTGTTTAAGGTTGCACACTGCAAATGGCATGGCCGCAGAATAGGTGGATTTCCATGATCTTCACCCCAGGTCCTAATGGCATTGAAGACTTTGGCTGCCCGGAGGCTGATGGAAAGGGGTCTCTAGTTGCCAGGTCCTATGAGGATCGGCTTGGCTAGCCTCCAGGGGCTGTGGGGACGCCCAAGATGCAGTCTCGAGCCCCGAGTTGTGGCTGGGAGTCTGCTGTGAGGGCTGGGATTCCCGGGCTTTTCTTTCCGGAGACTCGTGCAATTGGAGTCTCCTCCCAGGACTGATGGGAACCGGACCCTCCTCCCCGTTTCCTGGCAGTTGGGGTCCCTGCCAGAGTTCGATGGGGGTCCGTGTCTCCTCCTTCCAGGGACACACGAGCATGGAGATTCTCAGCTTCCACAGGCCAATGGGACCGAGGTCCAGTGTGGGAGTGAGGGTGTTTATGGGGGAGGGAGACCAGACTCTGGCCATCTGCATGCCCCTTCTAGCCCTCTGCCCCCCCCCAACCCCGTGGCCCCCAGGTACCTGGTCCTGGAGCATGTCTCCGGAGGTGAGCTGTTCGACTACCTGGTGAAGAAGGGGAGACTGACCCCCAAGGAGGCCCGGAAGTTCTTCCGCCAGATCGTGTCAGCACTGGACTTCTGCCATAGCTACTCCATCTGGTGAGGGGGCTGGGAGGGCCCACGGGGGCTGTGGGGAGTCAGCCAGGCACAGCCCCCGAGCGAACTCTTTATCCTTTTTTAAAAACGGATGTACCTATAACTCCCTTGCTGCGCCTTGCTCTTCAGAGCGTAAGGTTCAGTAGGCCTCTCCTCTGTGCGCGCATCACTATTGTGGAATTTCAGGGCATTTTCATCACCCAGAATGTCATCCTGCACCCATGAAGTGGTCACTCCCCTTCCTGCCTGCCTGGCGCCTGACGCCCACTGACCTGTTTTCTGTCTCTGGATGTGCCTGTTCTGGCCACATCATGGCGACGGCATCACACGCTCCATGGGCTTTTGTTTTGTTTGCTTGTTTGTTTTTTTAAGATTTATTTATTTATGCATACAAGAACTAGGGTGCAGGCCAGAGGTCTGGGGGGTGAGAGAATTCACCAGAGACAGAGGGGAGGGGGCAGATCTACTGAGATACACTGCTGAGGGAAGCAGCGGGAAGACAGGAAAGGTCTGCTGCACCACGTGGGTCAGCATCCTGGCTGGGAATTGAACTCGTGCAGCACTGTCTGGCTTGATAGTGCTGTGCTTAACCCCTGCGCCACCAGGGAGGCCCTTATCTGACTTTCTGATTCTAGTCACCCAGGTGGGTGCAAAGTGACATCTCGCTGTGGTTTGGACATGCATTTCCCGGATGGCTAATCATGCCAAGCATCTTCCTGTACTTCTCATTCGTTTGTCCATCTTTTTGTAGAAATGTATGTTCACATCCTTTGCCTTTTTTGTCTTTTAAAGGTTCATTCATTTATGCATACAAAAGCTGGGATGTAGGCCAGAGGGGCCAGGGGTGGTGGTGAGAGGACTCACCAGAGACAGAGTGGGGAGCAGAACCGGTGGATCCACTGAAATGCACTGCTGAGGGGAGCAGCGGGGAGACAGGAGAGGTCTGCTGTGCCCTGTGGGTCAGCTCCCTGGCTGGGGATAGAACTCTTACTGCAGTGGCTGCGGACAGCTTCATAGTGCTGAGACTTAACCCCTTGCGCTACCAGGGTGGCCATCCTTTGCCTATTTTTAATTGAATTCTTTGTCTTTTATTATTGAATTCTAAGAATGCTGTATTCTAGGAACAGGAGCTAATTCTAGGAATAACTTCTGAGCGTTACTATTCGGGGAATGAGTCTTATCATAGCCATGTTTTCCAAGTATTTTCTCCCAGTGGGTGACACGCTTCTGCATCTTTATGACATGTCTCTGAAAAGCAAGAGTTTCAAACTTTGATGAACCCATTTCTTGTTTTTTTCTTTTACAGTTCATACTTCTGTCCAACTCAAAGTCACTAAGACTTTCTCCTATGTTTGTGTTTTTAAAAATACTTTTAATTTATTTATGCATATAAGAACTGGGGTCAGGCCAGAGGTCCGGGGGTGGGGGGGAGAGGATTCACCAGAGACAGAGCGGGGAACAGAACAGGCAGACTGAAGAAATACACTGCTGAGGGGAACAGCGGGCGGCAGGAGAGGTCTGCTGTGCCATGTGGGTAGCTCCCTGGCCGGTCGGTGATCAAACTTGTGCTGCAGAGGCTGCTGATAGCTTCAAGTTCGTTTTTGTATATGGCTTGAGGTAAAGGCCAAGGGGCAGTTTGCATTTGATCTTCCCTGTGGAAAGACGATCCTTTCCTGACTTGGTGCTTGCAGTCCTCAAATCAAGATATTAAATGCACTTTTTATGATGAATGAAGGTGCAAAATGGATGCCTTCAGCTCACCTTTCCATCCCTGGGATGGGGCTGGAGGTGGGGTGGAATCAGACTGAGGGGCTCAGCCTTGGGGTAAAGCCTGGTGATAAAAAGGGAGCCCATTAAATCCTCGACACCTCCCGGTTGAGCAGAGGGAGTCAAAATGCTGACGTTGACAACACTGGCCTCCAGGGGGCGATAGTGAATAAACGGAGCCGCGCGTTTGACCCAGTTAAGGCCCCTCCCGCGGAGACGAGGACCCTGGGCACCACCTGCCCTCCACCCGGCCTTAACCCCTAATCTTGAGTACTTTGGGCCCAAGCGTGGGGGTTCTGAGGGCGTGGGGTAGTCGAATTTATTTTTTTTAAGTTCTGGGTTTTTTTTGTTTGTTTGTTTGTTTTTGTTTTTTTTTTGGTGGGACCTTCACTGGAGGCCGGGGAACAATCCGGCGCTGCAGAGGCTGCAGGCAGCCTCGCAGCCCAGCGCTCAACCTCTGCGCCACCAGGGGAGGCCCTAAGTTCAGGGTTTTTTTTTTAAGATTTATGTATTTATGCATAGAAGAGCTGGGGTGCAGGCCAGAGATGTGGGGGGTGAGAGGACTCCCTAGAGACAGAGTGGGGAGCAACAGGCAGACTGACCGAAATCCACTGCCGAGGGGAGCGGGGGGAGACAGGAGAGGTCTGCTGCGCCCTGTGGGTCACTCCCTGGCCGGGGATCAAAGTTGTGCTGCGGTGGCTGTGGACAGCTTTATAGCACTGAGACTAACTCCTGCGCCCCCAGGGAGCCACTGTGTTATTTTTGTTGCAGCAACACTGGTTGACTGTGTGATAGGGGTCCCCTTTCACCCTGCTTCACCTGTATGTGGCCGCAGCACGCGCCCTGAAGCCCCGTGGCCCGCCATCACAGCCCACCGGCCCTGCTTCTGTGAACCCCTCCGCCCTCCCCCGCCTCAGTTCCCCGCGGGGCGCGGAGGGGCCTCGCCTCAGTGTCCCTGTCCCTGGCATCGCGGCCCCTCTGGTGTTCTTACGCGCGTCTGGGAATACCCACTGGCCTGCTCCCCTCCAAAGGCCATGTCCTCTCTGTGGAAATACCTGCGGAGCAGGCACTGCCAGGTCTCCCCCCAGGCCGGCAGGGGAGGGGTGGGGGGGGCTGAAGACAACCCGCTGACCATGGTGCTCGCCCGCGTCCCTTCCGCGCGTCTCTCTACGGTGGGCAGCTTGCTGAGACGGGCAGCCACCAGGAGCAAGGCGAGGCTGAGCCGCCCCTGCCTGTCCAGCCACAGGGACCTGAAGCCCGAGAACCTGCTGCTGGACGAGAAGAACAACATCCGCATCGCCGACTTCGGCATGGCGTCGCTGCAGGTGGGGGACAGCCTGCTGGAGACCAGCTGCGGGTGAGCGGGCCTCCCGCGTGGGGGGGCGCAGGGGGGAGGGCCCGGCAGCGGCCCAGCCTCACCCGCCTCTCTCCCTCAGGTCCCCCCACTACGCGTGTCCAGAGGTGATCAAGGTGAGTGACCCGCACGCGGAGGGCAGGGCAGGGCACGGGGCACATCGCCAGCCAGCGGTGGTCAGGGGCCCTCCTCTCTTCCAGGGAGAGAAGTACGACGGCCGCCGGGCTGACATGTGGAGCTGTGGGGTGATCCTCTTCGCCCTGCTTGTGGTGAGTGCCCCCAGCTCTCCTGCCCTCAGGGACCAGGAAGGTGGGCCCGTTAACCTGCAGACCAAGATCCTGGAGCCTCCTGTGTGCCTGGACTCTCACCCTGTCAGTCACAGACATGAGCTGGTCAGCAGGCCACGGGCAGCCAGGGGCTCTGGAGGGCCTGTCGCAGGGTGTGTCACCAGCCGACTCTGGGGTTCCGCAGCACTGTGGTAGGGAGTGGAAGCAGAGCTGGAGCTGTCAGCGGGTGTCAACCACGGGGCCCCCGAACTTGCCTGCCCCTTGCGGCCTAGGCTCTCCGTCCCTGCAGCTCTGTCACTTGCCTAGATACTCTCCAGCCTTCCTCTCCAGCTCACCAGTCGCCTGTCCAGAGGCCGCCCTGTGGGGGCGCCTCCCCCGGGGAAGCTCCCCTCCCCTTCCCAGTACCACCCACGGTGCCACTGTGTGAGTAGCCAGGCAATTCCTTGAGTGGCACCCCCAACCCTCTATTTCACCAGCTCCTGAGGGCGGGCCTGTGCCCCAAGGCCTGTGTCCTTGCTCTGCGGCTTGTCCAGAGCCCGCACCCAGCAAGCAACCCAGAAGCACCCTGAGCCCCAGGAAACTAGAGGGACTCTGTGCTGCATGCTGCGCACACTAACTCCCGGCAGCTCAGAGGGGCAGCGACTAGCCCCTGGGCACAGCTGCTAAGAAGCAGGCCCTGGACCAGCCTTTGTCCCCGTAACCACGAGGCTCGCGTGACCAGGCGGGATTTGACATCGGGGGAAACAAGGCCAGCCCCTGTAACCTTCATGGCACCCAAGTCACTGGGGAGAACAGCCCTTGAGAGGCTGGCTTGGAAGGTTCCAGACTGAGCTCCTCTGCCGTGGGGATTGAAAACACGGGGCTGGAGCCCACAGGCTCTGCGCCAGCCCCCTCCACCCCCCAAGAGGCGGGCCGTTCCCGCCGGGCCTCAGGCCTTCTCTGCACAGGGGGTGTCCTGCAGACTGGGGTCCCTCAGAACACCTCGCGCCTGCCCGGGCACGAATGGGGTTTACCACTCAAACCACAATCCAGCACACGCTTGGCCGTGTTTGCGACTCTGCTCGCCAGGGGGGACCTGAGTCCCCAGCCTGCTTCTGGGCACCCGAGGACAGGCACAGAGCACGGAGGCCGCTGCCCAGAGTGCCCGGGCCTGCTGAGCTGGGAGACATCAGCCTTTTTTCCCCTTCAGCTTTTTTCCCTTCGGCTTTACCTGCCGCCTCGTAAGCAAGTTTCCTTCCAGCGGCCTGTAAAGCGTCCCCTGTTGTGGGCCCTTCTGTGGGTGGCTTTGCTCTTTGCACGGGGGTGGTGCTGAGGTGCGTGTGGTCCGGGCGGACGCCTGTTTGTGCCTGGAGGAGGAAAATGCAGGCGAGCCCCGCTTGGTGACCTTCCCCGGCTCGGCCCGGGTCCCGGGGCGCCCGCGCAGGGGGGTGCGGGGCTGCCCCTCCAGGCCTGTCCGGCGCTCTGCGGCGCCCAGCAACGAGTTTCCCAGAACTGGCCGGGGCTAAGCGGCCGCGGCGGGCTGGCCTTAGGCCAGCTCCTTCCCCGAGTTGGGGCGCTGCTGGGCACGCGAGTGGGGGAGCCGCGGACGGGGGGCCTGGCAGCCGCACTAGGGCCAGGCGTGTGGGGCGGGGAGGGTCGGGGCTGCGCGGACGCTGGGTCCGGCGAGAGTCGCGTCCTGGAGGCGGCAGCTGCTGGGGACACGGTGCCGGCCGCGGGGGTGGCCAGGCGGCCGCCGGTGAACTGCGGGCGGGGAGGAGCCGTCGGGGGCGCGGCGTCGAGCCCGGGTAAGGCGTCCGGTCTCTTCCCGCCCAGGGGGCGCTGCCCTTCGACGACGACAACCTGCGCCAGCTGCTGGAGAAGGTGAAACGGGGCGTCTTCCACATGCCCCACTTCATCCCTCCAGACTGCCAGAGCCTCCTGAGGGGGATGATCGAAGTGGAGCCCGAGAAGAGGCTGAGCGTGAGTGGCGGGCGCCGGCGGCCCGCGAGGACCCGGGGGCGCGAGCGCGGGGCGGCCGCGAGGACCCGGGCATGGCCAACCTGCCACTGCGCAGGCGCCAGGCGGCCGCGGCCCAGGGGTCGCACTGCGCGTGCGCGGGCTGCGCCTGCACGCCCAGCCACCGCTAGGGGGAGACACCACCCGCCCCGGAGGGGGGAAACGGCGCCTGGGGCTTGGGGACCCCCGTGCCACCCCATCACTTCCACTGCGAGCCCACTGTCTTCATACGGCCTCACTTCTGCTTCTCTATGACCCACTCTTCACAGCTGGAGCAAATTCAGAAACACCCCTGGTACCTGTGAGTGTGGGTGAACTGCACGCGGGGTCCCCAGGGAGGGTCAGGGCCCCCAGGGAGGAAGAGACAGGGCCCCAAATGTCAGTGGTCCCCAAAGCAGGAGACCGGGCTTGGGGGTGGGATGCCGGGGGCCTGGACTTCTGGGTCCTAGGGGAAGAGGAGGGTCCTGTTCTGCTGGAGGAGGGCGGTGGCCTGGACCCTCGGGTCCGAGGTGGGAGGCTGGGGGCCAGACCCCCTGGGCCTCAGAGGGAGGTTCGTTTCGAGTCCAGAAGCCTATTCCCCATAACGTTCCTCGCCCTCCCAAGGGGCGGGAAACACGAGCCAGACCCCTGCCTGGAGCCAGCCCCAGGCCGCCGGGTGGCCATGCGGAGCCTGCCGTCAAATGGGGAGCTGGACCCCGACGTCCTGGAAAGCATGGCTTCCCTGGGCTGCTTCAGGGACCGCGAGCGGCTGCACCGCGAGCTGCGCAGCGAGGAGTGAGTCGTCCCCCGCCCTTGCCCCCCAACGCCCCCCACCCGCCCCCCAAGGCCCGGCCCTGTGCGCGAGCATCCGCAGAACCGCGGGCAGCCGGCAGGGGGCGCACCAGGTGGCCTGAGCCCCAGAGCCCAGCGCCAGGGGAGCCCCGACTGGGGCCCCATCTCTGACTTGGGTCCTGTCCCCCCGACTCGCCCCCCCCACGCAGGGAGAACCAGGAGAAGATGATCTATTACCTGCTTCTGGATCGCAAGGAGCGGTACCCCAGCTGTGAGGACCAGGACCTGCCGCCCCGGAATGACGTCGGTGAGGGGGGCTGGGGCCCCGCGCGACGCCCCCGGGAAGGAAGGGGCGGCCACCCCTTCAGCCCCGCCTCGCGGCGTGACCGCTGTCAGCGCCCTCGGAGCGCCGGGCCCCAGTCCGTCTGGGTGGCCCGCGGCCTCGGCGCGGGTCTGACTGGGGGGCTCTGTCGCAGACCCGCCCCGGAAGCGCGTGGACTCCCCCATGCTGAGCCGGCACGGGAAGCGGCGGCCGGAGCGCAAGTCCATGGAGGTCCTGAGCATCACGGACGCAGGGGGCGGCGGCTCCCCGGTGCCCACGCGCCGGGCCCTGGAGATGGCCCAGCACAGCCAGAGGTGGGCGCCGGCCCCGCCCTCCGGGCGGCTCGGCCAGGGTGACCCGGAAGGGAGTGGACGCGGAAGCCTCGCACCTGATGTTCTTCTTTCCCCTCTTCCTGGAAGCAGGTCCCGCAGTGTCAGTGGGGCCTCCACGGGCCTGTCCTCCAGCCCCCTGAGCAGCCCGCGGGTACGGCCGCCCCGCCCCCGGGGGCCCTGGCGGGGGGGAAGGGGTGATGACTGTGGCCCCGAGGCGGAGCAGTGGCCGCATGGCCTCCTTGTCCCGGGGGCCAGAGACCTAGTCCGCTGGCCAGCTCCGTCCCTTGGGGTTGGCTTTCACAGAGGCCAGCTGAGCACCTTCTGGCGCGGGCCCCGCTGGGCTGACCGCAGTGAGCAGGCGGGAGCCCCGTCCAACAGTGGGCCGGGGCGACGCTCAGACTACAAGTTCCGGCATGCTCGGGGCCAGCCTCCTTGGGGGTGTGCATGTCGGGCTCCCAGAGCCTCCTGGGAGTTGTAGTCCACCCTTTCCCTGTTTTCCGCAGAGTCCGGTCTTTTCCTTCTCACCGGAGCCAGGGACTGGAGACGAGGCTCGGGGCGGGGGCTCCCCAACTTCCAAAACGCAGACGCTGCCTTCTCGGGGCCCCAGGGGTGGGGGCACCTGCGAGCAGCCCCCACCCCCCAGTGCCCGCTCCACGCCTCTGCCCGGTCCTCCAGGCTCCCCACGCTCCTCAGGGGGAACCCCCTTGCACTCGCCCCTGCACACACCCCGGGCTAGCCCTACGGGGACCCCGGGGACAACACCACCCCCCAGCCCCGGCGGCGGCGTCGGGGGAGCCGCCTGGAGGAGTCGTCTCAATTCCATCCGCAACAGCTTCCTGGGTTCCCCGCGCTTTCACCGGCGCAAGATGCAGGGTACGGGGTCTCTGGGACGCGGGTGCGGGGGGACGGGCCGGCCTCTGAACGTGAGCGTGGGAGGGGAGCTAAGGACCTAAGATGTGGGTCCCGAGCTGGGAGAAGAGGCGGGGGTCGTGGGGCGAGGAGGTGGAGCCTGCGGCCCGGGGGAGGAGCCCCTCCGAGCTCCGCCGGCTCGCGCCCCATTGGCTCCTGGCCAGCGGGCCCCACCCCAGGGGGTGTTGCCTGCGGGGGGCGGGGCACCTCCAGAAGGACCGTCCAGGGCCTGCCCCTGGGGCCTGGCTGCTGGGACTGTCCGGCCGCCTGGACGATGGAGGCGCTGACCGGCTCGCTCCTCGCCCCCACCCAGTCCCCACCGCCGAAGAGATGTCCAGTTTGACACCAGAGTCCTCTCCAGAGTGAGTAGCAGGCAGGGTGGGTGGCGGTGGAGGGGGGCCTGCGGCTCCCTTCACCCCTGACCGCGCCACCTCCCTCCCACTCAGGCTGGCCAAACGCTCCTGGTTCGGGAACTTCATCTCCTTGGACAAAGAAGAGCAAATATTCCTCGTGCTAAAGGACAAACCTCTCAGCAGCATCAAAGCGGACATCGTCCACGCCTTCCTGTCGGTGAGGGGCCTGGCCACCCCGCGGCCAGCGCGCGCTCCCTCGCCGGGCCTGCCCTCCTCCGGGGCTCGCGGTGCTGTGGTTTCTGTGGAGAGTTCGCTTGGGTCACGGTGGGGCAGGGAGTGGCCTGAGGCCCTTCCCGGGCCTCACCCGGCCGCTGTCCCCTCTCAGATCCCCAGCCTGAGTCACAGCGTGCTGTCCCAGACCAGCTTCAGGGCCGAGTACAAGGCCAGCGGCGGCCCTTCCGTCTTCCAGAAGCCCGTCCGCTTCCAGGTGGACATCAGCTCCTCCGAGGGCCCGGAGCCCTCCCCCCGGCGGGACGGCGGCGGGGGCGGCATCTACTCCGTCACCTTCACTCTCATCTCGGGTGAGTCTGGCTGCCCCGCAGGGATGTGGGCCCTCAGGCCCCCGAGGGGGTGTGGGAGGCAGGCCTGGGGGCCAGCTGGGCAGGGCCCCGTTCCCGCCTCCCCAGCCGGTCTGTCCGCCCCTCCAGGTCCCAGCCGGCGGTTCAAGCGCGTGGTGGAGACCATCCAGGCGCAGCTGCTGAGCACCCACGACCAGCCATCCGTGCAGGCCCTGGCAGGTGGGGGCTGGCCCTGGAGGACGCACGGGTAGAGGGGGCAGCGCAGGGGCCAGCTGCTGCGGGAGGCGGGGTGCTGGGGGCCGGCCCCTGTTGTCAGCGCCGTGAGCAGGCCCAGGAGGCCTGGCCGCTGGGGGGCATTCTCCATCGCGGGGTTGAGGATAGCGGCACTGGCCCATCGAGGGAGCTGGTGTCCCAGGTCCACCTGCTGGTGCTGGGCTGCCCAGCCTGGCCGAGGGGTGGCCCCAACAACTGCCTCTCCAGGCCTCCAGCCCAGGGATGGGCGCCCCGGCCACCCAGTGTGCGTCCCAGGGGACACTGAGGCCAAACCTCTCCTCCCTCGCAGATGAGAAAAACGGGGCCCAGACCCGGCCTACCGGCACCCCGCCCCGCAGCCTGCAGCCCCCTCCGGGCCGCCCAGACCCCGAGCTGACCAGCTCTCCCCGCCGAGGCCCCCCCAAGGACAAGAAACTCCTGGCCACCAACGGGACCCCTTTGCCCTGACCCCAGGGGGCCAGGGAAGGAGGGGAGCCCCCTCCACCCCCCTTCCCTGCCCCCCCAACTGTGAATCTGTAAATAGGGCCCAAGGAGTATGTAGGGAGGGGGAGACACAAAAAAACCCGGCCTGGCCCTGCAGGGATGGGGCTGGGACCGTGCCCAATGGGGGGTGGTTCTAGGGGATCTGGGGGCGGGGGAGCTGTTTCTATTTTATTTATTGATTAATTTATTATTTTATTTATTGATCACTCTCTGCGGGCGGGGTGGGGGAGGGACGGGGCTGGCTGGGGTGGCTTAGCAGATCCGGACAGACAGGGCGTCTGTCCTCGTGTCGTCCCAAGTCCCCTTCCTGGCCCTCCCCCGGCCCCGCCCCCCACGACCTTCTGTACGGATTTGCTCTCCGGAAGGAATTCTGGTTTCGCGTGATCCTGCCTGCGTCCGTGTCTCTGATTCCGCCGGCGGCAAAAAAATTAATAATAATAATAATAAATAGCCTTGATCAGGGATGCCTGGCTGGCCTTAGCCTCTCCATTCTGGGCGGCCCAGGTTGCAGGGGTGCGGCTGAAGGGCAGGGGCTGGACATCCGCCCCACCAGCACCCCCTGCATTCCGAGTGGGGGCAGACAGCACCCCTAGCTCACCCTGGGGCCATGGGGAGTGCAGCATCGCCCCATCTTCCTTCCTCACCAGCCAGGGCACGGCCCAGGTCAGAGCCCCTCGGACTGCTGGGCCTGCAGGGAGACTGGGGAGGCTGGCGGGGGCCCGAGGCTGGGGGCCGGCTGTAGGATTAGGGCGCAGCCGCCCAGGCCAGTGAAGTCCACGGAGCAGAGGCCGAAGAGGCTGAACAGCAGCGTGGCGACGGCCCACTCGCAGGCGGCAGAGGCGGAGCGCAGCTGGCAGAGGCGCAGGACGACCACTGTGCCAGGTCAAGGGCCACCGCGCAGTCTGAGCCCAGGTGCGCGCCTCATGCTGCCCCCAGCCTAGGGCCTGCCCGCCGCCCGAAGGCACCCCCAGCGGCCCACTCGCCAGCCAGCCACCTTGGCTGTTCCCTCCAAACAGGCGCGGGGTTTCCCAGGGACACCACCTGACTGACGGCTCCCAGACACACAGCTGCCTCCCAGCCAGCCCCGCCCGCCCACTCGGCGCCTGCTCTTCCCCCAGACTGCCTTCTTCCTGGGGACCCACCTCCAGGGCAGCCCCAGCTCGGCCCAGCAGCTCCTGTCTGAGCAGATTTCCAGTCTTAGCCAGCCGGGAACAGAGGGGGCCCCAAAGAACCCCCGTCCTCCCACTGTTTGCAGGCCGCCCACAGGCACGGGTCAGCTCCGTTCCTTACAGCCAGGAACTCACCTGCGCCTGGCAGGTGTGTAAACTGAGGCACGGACACTCGCACCCAGCACCACCCCACCCCCACCGCTGGTAGGAGGCTCCGGAGCCCAGGCACTGGGACCCCAGGGCCAGCACTCACCCACCACCAGCCCTCATCTGGCAGGGAGGCCCAAAGGAAGGGGCGTCCCGTGGCCGCCTGTCCCCAGCCCCGAGGAAGGATACTGGCTACCTCGAGCACTGTGCAGAGGCTGCAGAGGCCCAGGCGGAGCGGCCCGATCCAAGGGGCGCCAGGCTGGGGGGCGCTCCTCGCCCCCCGCAGGATAGCCAGCTGCAGCCAGAAGTAGAGCAAGCCCACAAAGAAGGTCAGGAAGGCCCCGGTCAGGTGGATGGGCCGCTGGTGCTTGTGCTGGGTCAGAAGGGACAGGTGACGGGAGGGTGCCCCACAGACTGGCAGGGCAGGCTGCCACTGCCGCCCCGGCCCGCCCCCACCCTGACTGCCCCCCAGCCCGTCCGGCCACCAGCTCCCATCGCATGCACAGGCGGGCATTTAAACCTCACTGCTGTGGCCTGGCCCCTGGCGGTGCCTGGACATGGGGGTGCAGGGAAGTAGCCGAGTGCCATTCACGACAGCACGGCCGCGGCCCTGGGGCCAGCTGTGTGGAAGCCACCCGTCTGGGCTCCGGTGCCTGCGCCATGACATCCTCACTGCCAGTCACTGCCAGTCGCCCTCGGAGCAAGTGACTCGGCGCGTTATAAACCGCTGCTCGCCAGCCGGGCGCCAGCCGGGCGAGGCGGTGGGCATTTTCCACCGGGGGTAAACACTGGCTCTTGGCAGTTAAGGAAGTCCAAAATAGGGACCTCCCTGGTGGCACAACGAGTTAAGACGCAAGCTATGAAACTATCCACAGCCACTGCAGCATGAGTTAGATCCCTGGCTGGCCAGAGAGAAATCCACATGGCACCGCAGACCTCTCCTGTCTCCCCGCTGCTCCCCTCAGCAGTGGATTTCAGTCAATCTGCCTGTTCTGTCCCCCGCTCTGTCTCTAGTGAATCTTCTCATCCTCCCCCGGACCTCCGGTCTATACACTAGTTCTTGCATGCATAAATAAATAAATCTTTAAAAAAAAAAAAAAGTCCAAAATAGGACAATAGTGGCGACTCACAGATGGACCATGCGCATTCTGTTGCGATTTTAAACTATGCAACTTTGGTGGGGAGAAGGGATGTTGGCGGGGCAAATGCAAGGAAAGGAAGGTCGAGGGCTGTGGGGTAGGGGGGAGTGAGCAGGTCATCTGCACCGGCCAAAGTCTGTACTGACCCCTTGGAGGCGGCCTCTTGTCTGAGCTCTGTGGCCTCCCCGGCCTCTGCCCCTTCTGTGGGAAAGGTGTGGCATCACAGACGTGGCAGTAAGTGAAGGGATAAGAGATAAGAGGACTTCTGCCTCTGTCCGGGTATTCTGCTGCCATGTGCGGCACCTCCCACCTAAAAAGGTGGGATCTGGGCCTCCCTGGGGGTGCAGGGGTTAGGTTTCAGCACTGTGAAGCTGTCCACAGCCTGCGTTGCCTGAGTTGGACCCCACCAGGGAGCTGCAGACCCCTCCTGTCTTGCCCGCTGCTCCCCTCAGCAGTGGATTTCAAACCATCTGCCTGTTCTGCTCCCCACTCTGTCTCTTGGGGATGCCCTCAGCCCCCGCACCTCTGGCCTGCACCCCAGTTCTTGTACGCATAAATAAATCTAAAAAAAAAAGAGAAGGTGGGGTCTAGAGTCTGTGCCTCTGGGGGCCTTTCTCACACCGTGGACTCGGCCAGTCCCACTTGGTCTGACCATGGAGGACCCACCCCGGGTCCGGTGGAGATGGAGGAGCTACTGTTCACAGCGCGACGCTGGGTGCCTCCAGCCCAGCCCCCACCATGCCGCAGACATAGGGCTGTGTGAACCCCACGGTTTCATCATGAAGGGGAGGGGCCCCGTCTCCAGCCCTACAAACAATGACAATTCCATTTACAGCCAAACGGGAAGAATTGGGGCAGGCTGCGCAGCAACCGAGAGAGAGTGACAAGGCAAGGTGGATGCGTAACACCCAATACACTGAGCGACAGAGACTTATGAAAACTAATAAACCAAGGGAGTCTGCAGGGAGAAAGCACCAAAGGGGCGGGAAAGGAGGGCTCAACCTAATTACACAAAGAACAGCCTCCGTGCAGACGGGCCGCCTCAGGAGAAATACAAGTCCCAGTAAGCCTTGCGGGGGCCAGCCCCCAGAACGAGAAGCCTGCGTGCCCGGGGCATGCTGGGAGTTGTAGTTCTGGGCTCTGGCCGCCGGCCCCACCTCCGGCTCACCTGGAAATTGCCGACCACAGAGGTGCCCAGGGCACAGAGAAGCCCCGCACTCAGGGTCACCTGGTTGTGCCACCTTTTCACACCCCAGGCCTGAAGCTGGTGGTAACGGAGAACGCAGACGCAGGCAGCTGGAAGGAGAGGGAAGTGGGGGAACCCGCCCAGCAGGAAGGAGGGGAGGCCGGTGGGTTGGGAGGCCGGGAGGTGCAGGCCGAGCCCCAAGGGGTCTGGGGCCTGGTCTCGGGGTGTTGGGGAGCCGGGCCCGGGATTCTTACCCATGGCGGCTCCGAAGTTGAGCACCTGGCTGAAGAGGCAGCTCTGAGGGGGGTTGTCCCCACATACACTGCAGAAATAAAGGGGTCACCCCCTGGCTTCCCAGCCAGCCGTCACCACCCGCCGCGCCCCTGCGCCATAGCTACCTGATGTAGGGGAAGCCTTCCTCCAGATTCACCGCCCCGCTGCGCACCGCAAGCCCGAAACTGCGGCGGAGACACGGAGCAGCGGGCAGCGTCAGCTTCCCTGTGCCCACTGCGAGCTGGCGTCCACCCTCACATCCCGGGTCCTTCCCCGTCCCTCAGGCCCGGGGTCCAGACCCCAGCCCCAGCCCCTCAGACCCTCACACCAGGGGGCCTAGGGCCCAGCTCACACCTTCCCTTACACCAAGGGGTCCAGGCCCCAGCCCCGGCTCCCCAGACCCAGGGGTCTAAGCCCCCAGCCTCCTCCCTCATACCAGGGTCCAGGCCCCATCCTCCTCCCTTGGGCCGGGGATCTTGCCTGTAATACTCACACGGTCCAAATGCCAGCCATCACCAGGAGGGCCAGGAAGGCGGGCATCAGGGCCAGGTAGGGCCACATGCTGGGTGACTGGGGTGGGAGTGGGACAGGAAGCATTCCCTCTTTCAGGTGAGACCCAGAGAGGCCAGGTGTACCGTGTTGCCTGCTGGGAGACCCTCAATCGGCTCCAGGCAGCAGCGGTGGGTGTGGGCGGAGGGTGGGGATCAGCTCCAGGCAGTTTCCTATCTGTCCTGATCTTCCCGGTCGTGACTGACCTCTGGTCTTTCTGCTGCCTTCCCTCTCCTAGCTGGGCGCGTCCCCACGTCCCCTTCCCTTTCCCTCCACCAGCCTGTCTCTGGGTTCCCAGGCGTGGAGGTGGGGCCACAGTCGAGGCCCAGCCCGGCCTGCCCACCCGTGGTCAGGGCGTCCAGAGTCTGCGGCCCAGTGAGTCTTCCTTATGCTGAGGATTCCGGGGCCCTCTCAGCCGGGGGACAGGCCCCAGCAACTTTTCAAGAAAGATGTGAAAACGTCAGACAAACATTTCTTAGGCCAGAGACCCCACGCTGGCCCTGCCGGAGTGGCTGTGCAAGCTGGAGGGCCAGGCACTGTGATGCAGCCACAAGCACGCAAGGCAGCCAGGGATGGGGCCCCCCGGAAGAGGAAGCCCTCAGGAGGGCCAGTGCTAGCGGTGGGGAAGGCAGGCCTCACGCAGCAGCAGCCGGAAGGAGGGTGTGAGGTTTGCAAGCTGCAGGGAGGCTTCCCTGGGGCCCTGGCCCCCGAAGGTCCAGTGCCCTTGTTACTGGGGTACAGAGGGTGGGATCGTAGGAGAAATGAGCCCAGACTCCAGGCCTGCTCCCCATCCAGGGCTAGAAGTTATTCCGAGGGCGCTGGGAGCCCTGGGAGGTTCTTGAGCAGGGCAGGCTGAGGGGTCCTGGCAGCACAGAGACAGCACAGGGGTCCGCACTGCTCTCAGAATTACGTCCTAGGCCTTGCCAGGGAGTGGGCTCAGGGCACCGCCGCTGGCCAGCACTCGAGGTCCCCTGGGCCAAGCACCTCCCACAGCCCTACAGCCCAGCTCTGCAGGCTGAGCCCCCCTCAGCCCAGCACCCAGGACAAAGCCCTGGCGAGACTGGAACCAGAGGACGGGGTGCCTGAACACTCGGGGCAGGAGGAACCCCCACAGGCTGGGGGCTTCAGACACTCAGGCTGAGGCTCCTGAGGGGCTGGGACACTGCGGTCAGCAAGTGGTCAGGCGCCCTCCGGACGCGGCAGGGGACAAGCCCTAGCATCACCTCGAGCTGGTGGCCCCAGCCTGGGTGCAAGCACCCCGCATTCCGCCACCCCGGCTCTGACAGTGGCCCCCTCGCCGACCTCGGCAATCCACAGCCTCTGCAGCACGAGTTTCATCCCCGGCAGGCCAGGGAGCTACCCACACGGCACAGCAGACCTCTCCCTGACTGGCCCGCCGCTCCCCTCAACAGAGCCCAGAGGAGGGGCGTTCCCGCTCTGTACAGTGGGGTGCGGATAGCGCCTCCCCACGTGCCCAGGCTCCGGAGTCGGCTTCCGGTGGGGATCCCCACCTCTGCGCCTGGAGGGGGGCGCGGGACGTGGCCTTGGCTAGGGACACCTGGTCCCCACTGTGCCGGCCCGGAGCCGCCCCAGGACGCCGCGGCACAGCCCCGGCCCGGCCCAGAAGAGCCCGGCGGAGCAGCCTCGGCCCTCGCTGCCCCGTGGGGACTGCAGGCCCCAGGAGGCGCGGCCAGACGGGCTGGGGCTCCGCGGTTTTGTTCCCCTTCTGCTTTTTAGCAAATCTTGACGGAGGTTCCGCCCCAGCTCCGCAGCCCCCACAGCAGCCCTGCCCCCCCAACCCCCCCCCCACATCCACAGTCCCCCACGCCCCCAGCGCCCCCTCACTGAGCTCCACCCGCAGCCGCAGCCCCCACTCCACGCCCACACTCCCCGCCCCCACCCCCAACACCCCGCCCCGTGCTGCGCCCCAACCCCCAAGGCCTCTCCTCCAGTGCCTCAAGTCTGGTGGGGGCCTGTCAACTGGGGGTTAGAGCCCGCCCACTTGCCGGCGGCCCCCACTCTCCTGAGCCGCACACTCTCCTGGGCACCGGCGGGGCTGGGCGGCGAGGCCCGGCTGTCCCTGGCGAGGTGGTTTTGCGCCCCCGCGCGAGAAGCCCCTTCTGGGCAGCGGCTCCAGCGGGGAGGGCAGCTGCCTGGGAGGCGGACACCTGGGCCTCTGGGCGCTCCCGCCTGTCCGTGGGGCGTGGGCGCGGGTCAGGGGCCTCCAGGGAGCCGCACAAGGACAGGAGAAGTTAGGGGCCTCCCTGGTGGCGCAAGGGGTTAAGCACAGCACTATGAAGCAATCCGCAGCCTCTGCAGCACGAGTTCTATTCTCAGCCGGCCAGGGAGCTACCCACATGGCGCGGCAGACCTCTCCTGACTGGCCCGCTGCTCCCCTCAGCAGCGTGTTTCGTCAGTCTGCCTGTTCTGCTCCCCGCTCTGTCTCTGTTGAGTCCTCTCAACCCCTGCATCTCTGGCCTGTACCCCAGCTCTTGGATGCATAAATAAATACATCTTTTTAAAAAAATGACAGAAGTTAATTGTTCCCATGGTTGGGTCCCCAAGTTTTGTGGATTTCTGGGGAGCCCCGCAGCCCTGAGAGGTTGGCTGCTGCTTGTAGGGCAGACAGCTGGGGCTGGAGAGGGCCTGGTTGTGTCCTGAGCTGGCCAAGGAAGCCAGTGGCATTACAAATGCAGGGGTGCGCTGGGCAGTGATGCCGCAAGAGGTCACAGGACCCGGCCAGGCACAGGTGTGACTCTGCGGGCGGGTGGAGAGCGAAGGGCGCCTCACTGCTGTGCCTGGGGGTGGCGAGGCTCCACCGCTGTGACCTCAGGTGATGTTCTGCAGAGGTTCCCCTTCAACAATGCCATTGAATCAGAAAGTGGGGTACTGGGGCCTCCCTGGTGGTGCAAGTCATACCACTATGAAGCCACTATGGGCCACTATGAAGCTATCAGCAGCCTCTGCAGCACGAGTTCCACTCCCGGCCAGGGAGGTGACCCACATGGCGCAGCAGACCTCTCCTGTCTCCCCGCTGCTCCCCTCAGCAGTGGATTTCACTAGCTCCACCTGTTCTGCTTCCCACTCTGTCTCTAGTGAATCTTCTCACCCCTGCGCCTCTGGCCTGTACCCCAGTTCTTGTATGCATAAATAAATCTTAAAAAAAAGAAAGTGACGTGCTGGTTGGCTGGGCTGAGGGTGGGGGGCAGCAGTGATGATGTTATCACCTCCTTTTGGGAAGTGAAAATGTTGTGGAATAGACAGAGATGCCCGCGGCCAAGGCGCTTGCTGCAGTAAGTGCCGCTGAACGCTACACCCTAACACGGTTCAGGCGGTGAGTTTTACCTCATTTAAAAAAACAAGACACCTGCCCCGCCGTGCCAGGCGCTCCGGGCTTGGTGAGAAGAGCTGCTGCGGCTGTTTGTCTTTGGGTTTTGTGCCCAGTGGCGTGCGAGGCTTCCAGTAATTCTGGCACTTTCCCCAGAGCTTCCCAGGGTGCCCCAGGTCCATGATCGCATCTGTGAACAGCTATGGCTTGGGTCTTTCTGTTGGATTTTTATCTTTATCTTTTTTTTTTAAGATTTATTTATTTATGCATGCAAGAGCTGGGGTGCAGGCCAGAGGTGAGGGGGTGAGAGAATGCAACAGAGGCAGAGCGGGGAGCACAACAGGTGAATCCACTGAAATCCACTGCTGCCGGGAGAAGTGGGGAGACAGGAGGGGTCTGTTGCGCCATGTGGGTGGCTCCCTGGCCGGGGAATGGAACTCACGCTGCAGAGGCTGCGGACAGCTTCAAAGTGCTGTGATTAACCCCTTGCGCCACCAGGGAGGCCCTATTTTTATTTTTCTTGCCTGGCTACACTGGCCGTGTCTCCAGAATGGCGCTGATACACGGGTGAGGACTCGTTCTTTGTTTTATTTATTTATTTTTTCAGAAGAGATCCTCTTGAGGAGACCGGGCTGGGCCAGCAGGGTCGTCCGGGTGCTGGCTGTCTGGGTGCCAGCCCCGCCCTGTCCAGGGAGCTTGGAGGTGCTGGGTCCGTTGTGTAGGTTCCTAGGCAGGTGACGGTTCTGTGGACTGACTCAGGGAAGGTGGGTGCCTGGCTTGCCAGGAGAGGGGGACAGAGGGTTGCAGGATGAAGGGGCACACGGGTGTGTGAGTGGACAGCGGGAGCGGCCCAGACAGACACACAGACGGAGGGACAAGGGCTCTGAGCTCCGTGGGTGAGGTCCAGCCTCAGCAGCCGCCTCTGGCTTCAGAGCCAGCTCCGCCGGCCCTGGAAGAGGCGCAGGGAGGGCGAGGCCTGGGCACTTGAGGGACCCCTCTAATCCTTCCCTGCCCACCCTCCCCTGCAAGCTGGAACCTTCTGCAGCCAGGATTTCTGGGCAGGGGATGGCTGGGCGGGCCGAGGGTTGAGGCTCTCGCAGGCCCCCTGGGAGGTGGCGGCCTGGGTGGTGTGGGTCAGCAGCAGCACTGGGGGTGGGGCACCCCTCTGCAGGCCCCCCACCCCACCCACCACACCCACACCAGTGGTGAGTCAGTGCCGGGTGGGGAGCTGCCAGCGGAGGGCAGCGCTCAGGGAGCGCACAGGACGGGACCGCCCGACGCCCACGTGGGCTCTCCCTGCAACCTCAGCCCCCCCCAGCCAGCTTGGGGGAACAGAAGACACCCCAGCGTCCAGTGCCGCAGGGCCCGTGGAGGGTCTGGCCTGGGGCGCTGGGGTCGGGCCCGAGGCCACGGGGGCCGGCTTAGGGAGCGAGGGCTCGTCTGCAGCGGTCACAGGGCCCCAGGAGGCTGTGCCTGGAGCGGGCGGCGGCCAGCGTGGGCAGAGCCTCCCTGAGAAACTGCACAGGGATGGAAGGACGGACCCAATGAGGACCAGCGCCCTGGAAGGAAGGAACAGCAAACGTTAGCGACTAAACGAGACATGCTGCGCCTGCCGCAGAAACCCCAGTCCTGGGGATGCCCAGGAAAGGCCCAGGGCCGTTGGGGGGTGTGAGTGAGCCCATTCTCCAAATCCTGTTCTGCGGGCTGCACCTCAGCCACCCCACCTCACCTCCGCACGGCCCGGCACCTGGAGCGGGAAGGTGACCTCCCGG